TCTTAGATTCCTACGTCACAATGAAAAGTCGAAAGTTACATTACTATATGCAGTTAGATGGCCTCAAATTTTACAGTTCTGACAAAGGCATTAGCAAAGTTCAATGATCCACCATGCGATGGTCTCCTTGAGTTTATTTATATTATTTACGCAGTGATAAACGTTGTGTGTTTACTGTTTAACGACCATACTTACTGATATTAATCTCTATTTAGTTTGAATCCTGTTTTTGAAGTGGTGGAACTTTCTAGAAGGATCGTTCCGGAAATTTTGTAAAACCAAAGCAACTCCGTAGTCCCTTATTTGGCTCTCTTAATATAGGTGGGGAAAGGAGGGTGTTTCAATGCTGTGCACCTCTACGTGTTTCTTTGGGGTACAAAGATAGGCGTGATATTGTGTAGCCATTGCTTAATTAAACCACAAAACTTGATTAATATTTTTGGTAACTTAAATTAGGGATAAGTCCCGTAAGGCCGGACAGCACCTAATGCCGGACACTTGTATTTTCTCGATAATTGATAACACGAGCGATTAAATTTTTACTAAAAATCTTAGCTGTCTGCCACTGGGAGACTTCCCCCTAAAAATTGAATCGCTCGCGTTATTAGTTATCGAGATAATACAAGTGACCGGCGTTAGGTGCCGTCCGGCGTTAAGAGACTTCCCCCTACTTTTTTTTACAATAGAGCAAATGGAAATAAGTCTAATGATTCACGAAACTTATCTTGTGTTTTTTCTGATCTTTTTATTACTTGTATTTCTTGGGCTTATTGCTAATTAGGTTCATCTGTATCTTAATTAATACTGCCTTGTTAGAACAAAGGGATTCTAGAGTATAGGTAATTCTTTTTCAACGAAACAGTATTTTTTCTTTGACCTTAATCACAGGTGTCTGGGCTTCAATGGGTCATTTCTTTTATTAACGACTTGGAACCTAGACTAGGCTAGATTCTAATAGACGGTGATCTCATTGGGCTAATCAAAGTTATATTATCATGTCACGTGGCATTGGAAGTGAGAAAAGTAATAACTACACGACTGCGTTGCGATCATCAATGAATTAAAAAATCGGTTGTAAAAATAGTACAATTATTAAAAAAATCCAATTTATTGGTTAGATTTTTTTGGCATACTTCTTCCCACCACGGAAAAAATACCTCGTCTAGTGTTACACTCACAATACCTCAAGTGTTACGGATGTCTATAAAAGTTCTTAGAATGATGACAACCAAAACTGAAAGAATCAGAGACGATGCGCAAAAATGGCAACATTACGCATTACGCCATTATAATCTTTACCGCAGTTTACTGATGGTAATGATTATCGATAGATTACTGCTTACTATCTGCCGACCCAATGGCTGACGTATCAAACCGCTATGTCATTACACGACACAGGTTGGTGACCTGTAGTATTGTTAATCCAGTATTTAGTGTACCTAAGTATGCCCCAATGGTCTCTCATGTGGAAACATTTGATCCGCATGAGCTTTTTTATATGATAATGGGAATGAATCAATTGGTTGACAAAGAGTGACCAGCAAATGATTTTGCGATCAATTTCCTGTATAAACTAAGTTCAGTTTTCGAAAATTATCTGTAGTAACTGGAATGGTTCCATCATACGAGCCACAAGACGTCCACTGCTGAACATAGACCAGGGATGGCGAACCATTAGCACGCGTGTCGTTGATGGCACGGAACACAAAAATTTGGGCACGACAGTGACTACAAAATTGATAAATGATCAGAAACCTACAACGCATTTGTGGTGTCTCGAATATTGCAGGTGTACTCAGACTGCGGTAACAGCTTACCAGGCTATTGTATACTTTATTGCTACAGATTGACAGTAAATAGTAATAATAATTAGTTGATGGCACACGTAAAACCGTAAAACATCTTTTTTAAAGTAATTGGCACGCTAATGTGCAAAGGTCGCCTTCCCTGACATAGACCAATCAAATAACTTCGAGATCGGTCGCTTGGAAGCAATCTGTATCTAGCGACTTCTTTGTCTTCAAATTGTCTATCTGGATACAAACTGAAATAGGTATGATGACCGGGTATGAAAATTAAAAATCTAATTAGTTAGTTAGGTAATGAAAAAATATTAGACACGCACTTTTTTATTTTGTTGTATAATAAAATGATACTTCGATAAAACGAATTAAATTTTAGGAATGGGGGCTAAAACGTCATTTCTATGTATAAAATGTATATAGAAGTGACGTCACACGACATTTAAAATCAATATATCGTCGAAAGTTTAGTTTCTGTGAAAAAAATAAAAATACTTGTGTAATGTTTTAAAAGAATCTACAAGCCGGACATTAAAATAAAAAATTGTTATCTACCCTATTGTAGAAACTAGTAACTCAAAACCTAATGGATAATGTGCAGCTTAAAATTTATGGTTTGCAATATTGCCTACGATTTTGAATCATGGACGATTTGTCATTAGTTTAAATAAATTCTGACTCATTTGATTGTGGATTTAACATGATGGAAGTCATGAGCAATGCAGTTTGTGAAGGTGTGCATTATTTCTTAACGATATACTTTATTTGTAAAGGTTTATTACATTACGCCTTTTAAACCTCGATGAGATAGACAGAAATTCGCAATGTGTTCTTGAGACAAGTATTGTATAACAAACAAACAAGCAAACAAAAATACGTACATCCTCATAAAAACTTGCTTATCTTACTTAATATTATGAAGAAGTAGTTTGTGAATAATTTTATGTGTATGTTTGTTAATCGATTACGTCAAAACGACTGAACACATTGGTATGAAATTTGGGACAGATGTAGATTATGGTCAGCAAAAACACATAGGCTACTATTTCTCCCATGGGATCGCGGGGAAGAACGGCAGAAGCTTGTTTATATAATTTAGTAGAGTTCAATAAGTTTATTTCTGATTGACAATATCAGTGACGTATAGGATTGTCGACAGACACTACCTAACTGCCACCTAATCGTAGGGGTTATGATGTCGTGACCCATTTCCTTGGCCCCTAGTTAAGTTAACGGGTCAACCTACCACGGAGCGTTACTGCAGTATACATGTTGTCTATTGTAATACTTAATAGAAAGAAAAAGCATTTATTTGACAGTAGGCACGCACACAGATACAAAAATAAAAATAAAACAAGATTTAAAAAAAGAAAAGAAAAAAAAAAGGTTTGATTAATGAAAGAAAATTGGGAAAATATTGATGTTTTAGTGTAAAATCATCGTCGTATAGTATAGTAGCGTAGTCCTTTTTTTAAATAGTGTATTTTTTTTTGGTGTTGTAAATAAAACGAAATGTGGTATTCTTCAAATTAGTTTAAACTATTGGCTAACTGGGTGGTTATTTGTGCATAGACACATCATAGCTAACCACCAGGCGAGATGGTGGCCAAACGTCAATAATGTATCAAGTATAAAAAAAAAATTAAAAGTAAAGGAACCCTAAATCAGAGCTTTTAGGCTTTTAAATTAAGTACCTACGTAATTTATCGAACTAATACGACCTAGGTACCAGGCTCTCATAACCACGTGGAGTCTAAACATCTATGCAAAAGGAATTCCTTAACACCTACATGCATCAAATATCTGAGATCCTCATGATCTCATCACAATGACTCACGTACAAAAATAAACCTTATGCTATAACTAATAAGGTCTACATAATCACCTTGAAAGGTTACAACCTTGTTTCTGTAATTTGATTCCTATTTACAACTTGCTAAGGTTGATTACACTATGAGATTGGGTTTCATTTTCTCGTGATCGTTTTTGTAAATTGGGTCTTATTGGTTTTGTTCTAAGGTTGATTGTTCTATGTGTAGGTTTATTTGTTTGTATTTCTCGTTTAGAAGTATTGATATCATTTAAATGTATGACATGTTAATAAAGAGAAGAATTTACTACACTTGGTCTATGTAATTTGCTAAGGAAGTGGAGACCGGAATAATATTTGTTATTTATACATAAATTATGCGTATTTCGTTGGCCTGCCTCGTTGACCGAGTGGTCGCAAGTGCGACTGCCGGGCAAGGGGTCTCGGGTTCGATTCCCGGGTCGGGCAAAGTATAACTGGGCTTTAAAAATCTCAGTATTAGCACGGAGTCTGGAAATGTGCCTGGTATATGGCAATAGGCTCACCCCCTATTACATGGGACTCATAATATAAATAGTGAAAAGTGGGTGTTACATTGTACAGTGGCATTAAGTGCCGAAATGTGCACCTCTGCCTACCCCTTCGAGGATAAAAAGGCGTGATGTTATGTTATGTAGTTAGGAGAGTGAGATCAGCGGGTCGATCGACCAGAGTGATATTACGAACCGACGTCAAACAACCCTTGCGATTGTGTGAGGGAGGTTACCGGTGGGGCAATTACCCTCCCTCTCCAGTATCTGCAATCCCTGAATCCCCAGCAATCCTCAAATTCCGAATTCCCAAAAGGCCGGTAACGCACTTGTTATGCCTCTGGTGTTTCAGGTGTCTATGAGCGGCGCTGATTGCTTACCATGCAGGCGATCCGTTCGTTTACCGACTTATCCCATAAAAAACATTAGAAGGGGTAATACACATGTGCGCGACGTCGCTGCGACCGCGCTTGCTGCTCATTAGGAAGAACCCCTCTGTGGTTCGAAACTAGTAGAGCTTTTCTCAGTATATTCACGAGAGTAACCCGCGTTTTTACTTAATTTAGTATGTCTCACGATAGTTATTATAAAAACAGTACACATGTCTTCTATTATACTGCACACATACAAGTACTTATTACTTATTCTTATGTATGTTTTGCTAAGTATAAATTACACTTGAACTTAACTCATTTCCATTTGACCTGAAGACCTCAAACACAATAGACAGTTTTTGTTCCCTGTTTTGTCACTCGATCATCAGCGCTATAAATATATTGTCTTGATTCACTATCAGTTGATATGTTATCTTTCAATACAAGTAGCTATTGATACATTATCTACTTAATTACACACGAAATGCTCTCTCTTTTACAAGTAACTAAATCAATTGCCCTCTCCTTTAAAATCTTCCAAAGAATATTCAATCAATGTGAGAGGGCCATGCTTCGGCGGGTCACGGATTGGCTGGCTCGACCGAAGTTATACAACGGCCGAGGAGAAAACCGACGTGAAACAACGCTTGTGTTGTGTTTCGTCGCGTGAGTGAAGTTACCGGAGGCACAATAGGGTAGATGCCTAATTTTTATTTTAATGTCCCTTTGGTAGATTATTTTAAATCATTAGATACGATTTTTTTTATTTTCTAACAGGAACGAATACTTTCAACGATATATTGATTTGAAATGTCGCGTGACGTCACTTCTATGTATGTACATTTTATACGTAGAAATGACGTTTTAGCCCCCACTCCTAAAATTTAATTCGTTTCATCTAAGTATTGTTTTATAAAAAAGTGTCTAATATTTTTTAATTACCTAACTTACGGACTAAAAAGATTTTTAATTTTCATACCCAAATCCGCGTAACATTAAAAAATGTCTCCGTATTTTGTAACAATTCGCTACTCATTAAAATGGAACTAATTAAGCACACTAGACAAGCTTTAAAGTTATGATGAATCATAGGCATAAATCTTATATCTTACGGATTTCACAATCCCTTACATCTCCAAACAATTTTTGTTCAAAAGGGCCATACACATAGTAGCATCTCAAACGTACATTCAGATGTTCAAGAATACAGAGCTGACGTTTATAAAAAGAGTAGTCGTATTTACGCCTTCAGATGCATCTCTTTATCCACCAGCGCGAACTGAGGACGCAAAGGTTACACTAGGTCAACAGTCGTTAGCATTTCCAAGAGATATGCTCGCAGAACGGCTCTTTTTAATGTCTTTTTTAAAGGAAATGAGGACACAATTGTGAAAATTACATTTTGTATGTACTAATGTATTGTTTTGTGTGATGAAAAGTTAGCTAAATAAAGAAGCTAGCTGTTTTGCTAGTGGTTTCCCTTATTGCAATGAAGGATTTTCACCTGGAACACCAGAGGCGTTACAAGTGCGTTACCGGCCTTTTGGGATTAGGAATTTGAGGATTGTTGGGGATTAAGGGATTAGGGAAGGGGGGGGGGGTTAATTGGGCATCCGGTGACCTCACTCAAACGACAAAACACACAATAACGTTGTTTCACGTCGGTCTTCTGTGAGGCCGTGGTGTCACTGCGGTCGAGCCGGCCCATTCATGCTGAAGGACGGCTCTCCCACACTTTAAATGTAGTGTCGGAAAACAGTCTAACATTGCTGTCTACTCCTTCCTATCACTACATATTATAAAACAAATCCCCCCGCGTCTGTCTGTTTGTCTGTTTGTTCGCGATAAATTAGAAAAGTACGAGTCTAATTGTCATGCAGTTTTCAACAAGAGGTAGAGTGATCCTTGGGGAAGGTTTAGGTGTATAATATGTTTAGCTTTTGTGCAAACTGACGATACTACAACGATTTAAGTACTTGAATTAATATCATCAGGGTATAAGAATCAGTTTAATATCGTTTGTATTGTAACTTTCGTTAGACGTACTAAATTAATTATTATGTTTTCGGCTTACTCACGTAATAATTTGACGAGGAACTCGACTAATTTCAAGCCATGCTAGAGGCTCATATTCATGAGCAGCATTGCGCGACCCGCGACGCGGCGACTGTCGCGCTGCTACTACTGTAGCCGTGGCGTGAGTAAGCTGAAAACATAATAGTTTAATATTGGATTATAAACGAACCAACTTTTGACTTTTGAGTTATTAGGAAACGATCAGGAACGATATAAATTAAATACAAGCATTATATTTTAATAAAACGGTTAATTACAGCTTGGCCTTACAGTACCCAATAAACTACTGCAAATTGAAAAACACAATCGATATAAAATTACCATTTAAACTGATTCAGTAACTTGAACTTTAAACGTAAAAGGATAAAGTTGATGTTTGTCCTTATAAAAACCTTGCGCTGCGGTTCCGATGACTATTTATAGATTTGACGTAACGTTGATATACAACAATAATAATATAGTAATATTAAAACTCAGTTATTTGCGTACTAATTTAAACTGCACACATGTAGCATAACATAATTTCACGCCTTTTATCCCCGAAGGGGTAGGTAGATGTGCACATTACTCATAACGGCACTTATTGCCACTGTTTAATGTAACACCCACTTTTCACTATTTATGTTGTGAGTCCCATGTAATAAGGGGTGAGCCTATTGCCATACACCGGGCACAATTCCAGACTCCGTGTTACTACCGAGAATTCTTAAAAATTCAATAGTACTTTGCCAGACCCGGTAATGGTACCCGAGACCCCTTGCACTTGGCACTTGCGACCACTCGGCCAACGAGGCGGTCCAGTATCAGTTCCCATTCCTTATAAATGACTAAAGATTTCTTTCCTCCCGTCAACACGTCTAACTTATCGGCTTACTACATTATTTTAGGAAGCGTGAGTGGGACCCAGACATACTGGAACATATCACTTACATTTAAATGATCTATATAATACTTACACATAACATACATTGAAATGATCCCTAGCATGCACATAATATACATTGAAATTAAAAAAAATATTATGCCCAGCACAGCATGCCGCCGGATAATTTAGCAGATGTCCAATGCAGATGTTCGTCCTTTTCAAACCACAATTAATACTAACGATCTTTTTGCGCATAACTTTTTCGAAATTTTATTAATAGTATAAAGCTGAAGAGTTTATTTTTTGTTTGTTTGCTTGAACGCGTTAATCTCCGAAATTACTGATCCGATTCAAAAAATCTTTCTATGTTGGATAGCCCATTTATCGAAGAAAGTTATAAAATATCACGCTGCTAATATATATAAATTATAAAAATTATATTTAATTATAAAATTAATAAAAAATAATAAATAAATAAACGGAAAATTTAAAAAAAAATTTAAAAAGGAAAATAAATGTATGCCAGAACGGAATAGAGAGAAGTGTAATTCAAGTAAAAATACAACACAAGGTAAGACTAGAAAAAATTAAGGAAATAACTAAATTTAAAGACGCAGGGAAACTATGTAAAACACTAAAATGGCAATGGGCAGGGCATATGATAAGAGAGAGGAATATGAAATGGACAAAGACAATATCAGAATGGTACCCCAGAGATGGGAAAAGGAGCAAAGGGCGACAACCAAAACGCTGGGAAGATGACCTAAGGAAAACTGCTGGACTAGAGTGGATGAGAATTGCGAGGGATAGGGAAAACTGGAAATCTTTGGAGGAGGCCTATGTCGAAAGACAAGCTGGGGGTAAAACTACTGATGTATAGTATAGTAATATAGACTAAATTGTAAATTTGTAACCTCAGTAATAAAGGCTTATTTTATTTTATTTTATTTTAATATATTAATAGGCGCCGAGCAGAGCGAGTGAAACCGCGCGGAAGTAGCTAGTACATTATATAGGTGAAAAATGATTATTACAATCCTAACACATAACGTCTTTTACTTTCCGAAGGGTTAGACCCTTGTACATCGACAATGACGGAAATGTACATCGACAATGTGCCCTTTTCACTAACATAACATCACGCCTTTTATCTCCAAAGGCGTAGGCAGAGGTGCGCATTGCAGCACTTAATGCTACTGTACAATGTAACACCCACTTTTCAATATCTATGTTATGAGTTCCATGTAATAGGTGGTGACCCTATTGCCATATACCGGGCACAATTCCAGACTCCGTGCTACTACTGAGATTTTTTTTAAACCCAGTAATACTTTCCCTGACCCGGGAATCGAACCCGAAACTTCCTGGCCTGCAGTCGCCCTTGCGACCAATCGGCCAACTATCACAGCAGCCATTAATTATGACTGCTTAGATATAGGTCCAATTATACCATTCTCGAAGCAAAAGAAGTTCTTCTCGGCCTACAGACATAGAAATATGCGAGGTTTCACTTGATTACTATTCATGACGGTGTGAACGTCCCATTCAGAGCAAATCCCTCTTTAATGGCCCACTTTGAAGCTACAAACACCAGGTTTTCAACTGTGAATCCCTTGTCTTGTTGACGAAATCCCTGTTAATTATGCTGCTTGTTATGTGTGTAGATTTGTGTGGTTTTATGAGCTTAACTTGAGTTGAATTTAGAATGAACGTAAGACGCAAGATGATAAAAGTTAAAGGGCTGTGTGAGTTACAAGTCCTTTTTTTGTCTATAAAATTACTAGCCCGCGGCTTCGCTCGCGTCACAATAGGATAAAAAGTAGCCTGTGTGACATATACCAATACACACAGCGCCATCTATACCAATACTTTTGTTTTCCCTCGGGAATATCACATTTTTTCGGGATAAAAAGTACCCTATTATTTAATCTGGACTTCTAACTTTACGTCTTTAAAAATTCAAAGCAATCGGTTTAGTAGTTACGGCATAAAAGCGGAACAAACAAACAAACTCACTTTCCGATTTATAATATTAGTAAGGAAGTAAGGATGTCGCGGAGAACCTAACAGGTAACCGGGGCTCCGGCTCGACGTGCAGGAGAAGGAACGGGGTGGTTTTTAGTCAGTAAGAGTCTGACACTCCCTCCCGCCTCACCCAGGCGGGAGCAGTCATTCGATGATTTTCCCCCCTTAAAAAAAAAAGGAAGTAAGGATTTGACAATTGCAATAGTTTTTATTTTTGTTTCGTTTGTGGTTCTTTCACGTCAAAATGGCTGAAGGGATCGGGATGAAATTTGGAACAGGGTTGGATAGGGGTGGTGGTCTGGAATAACACATAGGCTACTTTCTAGCTTCACTGACAGACAGACGGACGGACAATTCAATTTATATCGTTTCAAATGTGGCTAATTAAGGATTAATTGAAATAAATTACTTTGATTTTAACTCGTATCTCAGGCTAGGCAGGATAACTCTCTTAAGCTGACGGTTTTTTTTTAAGTGGGGAAAATCATCGAATGACTGCTCCCGCCTGGGTGAGGCGGAAGGGAGTGTCAGACTCTTACTGACTAAAAACCACCCCGTTCCTTCTCCTGCACGTCGAGCCGGAGCCCCGGTTACCCGTTAGGTTCTCCGCGACTAAGCTGACGCTTAAGAGTTATCTACTATATAAAAATAAGTCTGGTTTTCCTTCCTGACGCTATAACTCCAGAACGCACGAACCGATTTCCACGGTTTTGCATTTGTTGGAAAGGTCTCGAGCTCCGTGAGGTTTAGAAAAGAAATTCAGAAAAAAGATTGTTTTTTCATCTTTTAATCACCAAACGAAATGTTACATAAAACGAAGCCATCTGGTGGCGAAACGGAGTTCGCCGGGTTTGCTAGTCTTACCATAAAAAAGTCAATGATTTATCCTTGACTTTGTCTGCTACATTATTTATTATAGACTGCTGTTGCCCACGACTTCGTCTGCGTAGAATATGAGTCCTGTTTTATCCCAGAAGATCATTTAATCGGGTGAAGATCCTATCACCCAAGCCAGCCCATACTCTGCCAGTATACCAAATTTCATCAAAATCCGATCAGTAGTTTCAGAGTGAGTGATACGACCAATCATCCAAACAAAACAACTTTCACATCTATAAATAATCCAAAAGTGTTTTCTTAAATGTTAATCGGATATTCTCGGGTATTTAACAAATATGTGCAAGTACTTAGCTGATACGTACCCAGTCTAAACACATCTATCCCCAAATTGGTCGTACAAATAAACACGTGCAGACTGACTGTAGCCAGAATGTTGCATATTATTACGTGTATGTTTAGGTTTTAAAGGTGAAGGAGTATGGTGAATTATATAATATTGTGTAACAAATGCGTGGACTACTAAAATCGGTCATATGAAATAATAATGCGAGTTTTGTTTAAAGTTATTCATGAATGTTCAGGGACTATGATCTTCTTCTTTCCAAGAAATCTACAATTGGGTAGTTTCCAGGGTAACAAAATTAAAAATCTAATTAGTCCGTCAGTTAGATACTGAAAAAAATATTAGACACGTATGTTTTTATTTTCTCGTATAAAGTTACAACACTTAGATAAAATGGAGTTAAGTTTAGAAGTTTGAGGTCGTTACGTCACAAAGTGCTACAAAATGTAGCGCATTGTGACGTCACACGATATTTAAGATTAATATATCGTCGACAATATTTAATTTTGTGAGAAAAGAAAAAATACGTGTTTAAGGTTTTAAATTAATGTACCAGACGGAGATTAAAATAAAATTCAGGCAACTAAGTTATGTATGTAACTTAGACCACAAAAGTATTGCGGAGAACCTAACGGGTAACCGGGGCTCCGGCTCGAAGTGCAGGAGAAGGAACGGGGTGGTTTTTAGTCAGTAAGAGTCTGACACTCCCTCCCGCCTCACCCAGGCGGGAGCAGGCATTCGATGATTTTCCGTCCTAAAAAAACAGACCACAAAAGTCGTTTCCAATTATTTGACGGGAAAGTACCTACTATAGGGTCATTAATGAATGACACTATTTGACATCACTATCTATCTCCCAGTCCACCCAGACGTATCACAACAAACAGTATTTATGTAAAAAGTCCCTATTTATGCTCAATATCAGTGTTTGCTTCCGCAGGAGCGGTGCGGCGCGATAATGCGCGGGCGCAGATAATACACAGCCGTCCCAACATTGCTCTGACTACCGTAAGTTTATTATAGTTTATGTTTATTATGATTTATGTGTCATGTACATACTTGTGTCATGTGTTAGCTGGGTGGTATGGTCTTTTAACTACCGAGATATAATTGTAAATTGCTTGTTTAAAACAAATTCCCTGCTAGAGCTACATCGGTCAATTTTACCCCCGCATAGCTTTTAACGTGTTTATATGGGATAAGCTGGTAAACAAGCAGACGGATCACCGATAGTAAGCAATCGGCGTTGCAAGTATGTTACCGGCCTTTTAGGCTAGGAATTTAAGGATTGTTGGGGATTCAGGGATTGGGGAGTATATGGTAATGAGGGCTTCGATAACCCCACTCACATGACAAAACACAACGCAAGGATTGTTTCACGTCGGTTTTCTGGCCTTGGTATCACTCGGTCGAGCCGGCCCATTCGTGCCGAAGCATGGGTCTCCCACACTTAACGTGTTAAAGCAATGGTGTGAAACAAAAGAATGGGTATATAAGGAGACCTATATAGTTTTGCAATAGACCCTAAAGTGAATGATGATAATGGGAATTGGGAAGAATAGGAAAAACGATTTGTTTGATCTATGTTATATTCATATCGTCATAAACATCGGTTAAAATCCTTTACAATTCGATATTATTCCTTTAACCTCTCGCGTGTTTCGTACACTGGTGTACGAGAGAGTTGAGTGCCCATCGCGCAATTGTACACACGGGTGTACGAGAAACGCGCACCGATTGGATATTTTTTCCGTGACGTATATTTTCAAGTTTGCAATCCGTTCTTTATTTGATTGAACATAATAGTTAATTCGCTTTTCTATTAGAATATTTACCCGTGTGTACGAGAGGCGCGCGAGAGGTTAACTTTTAGCAGATAATCATAGGTTACACGTCTTCTCAGCTTCTCTTTCTTAAATGTCTCTTATTCTGAAGATATCCCGTGCTTCCAGGTGTAAGAATGGCGTCGGTGTGGAAGCGACTGCAGCGTGTGAACAAGCGAGCTGCCAAGTTCCAGTACACTGCCTCCTACCATCGTGTAGATCTTGAGACCTCGCCCAAATGGTAAGATAATGTCTACTGGACCTAGATTCACAGTGTGTTGAGTTGACGGTGAAGTGTAATACATCTGTCACAGTGTCACCGCTTCTAAGCTTCCTGAGGGTATCGTATAATCTAGAAATGTTTTTTATGGCATAAGCCGGTAAACGAGCAAACGGATCACCTGATGGTAAGCAATCGGCGACGCCCATAACACCTGTAACAAACAGGCGTTATAAATGCGTTACCGGCCTTTTGGGAATTGGGAATTTGAGGATTGTGGGGAATTCGGGGATTGGGGAGATTGGGGGGTGGGGGGTAATTGGGCCTACGGTAAGCTGCACGATGAAATACGTATTTAAAAAAAAAAAAAAAACTAAAACTTTGTATAGTGGCATTAAGTGCCGTAATGTGCATCTCTGCCTATCCTTTGGGGGATAAAAGACGTGAACGTTATGTAATAACTAACAAAAACCTGAAAAATATCTGACTCCAGTAACGTAAGATCAAAAATGTATTCCAAAAACTACATTACACACATCACATTTTCTCTATCCCAAACCGTCCTTTAGTTTATATGCAAGTGATGCAAGACCGCCTGGCTAGTATCGATCTCTCAGCTATTTACGTCTCTAACTTACAACTGACGGCAATAATACGGATTTAAACTTGGACAATGCAGTTCACTAAGGATGTCTGTCTGTCTGTTTGTTGCAGTTTTATTACTAACTGCAATGTTTTGTTCTTTAAGTTATAATGGTAGAATGTAAAATACACGTGGGTGCAAATAAACAGATCCACTGGCGTTTTTCCTTTTTCATTTCTTGGTAAATATTTTCTAATACACGTATTGTATTAATTGGTAGAATACATATCTTATACATATAAAGCGGAAGATTTTGGTTTTTTGTTTGTTTGTTTGTTTGAACGCGCTAATCTCCGTAACTACAAGTCTGATTGAATAATTCTTTTTGTATTGGATAGTGCATTTATCGAGGATGGCTATAGGCTATAAAACATCACGCTACGACCAATAGGAGCTGAGTACAGCGTGTGAAACCGCGCGATAGCCATCCTCGATAAATGCGCTATCCAATACAAAAAGAATTATTCAAATCAGACTTGTAGTTTCGGAGATTAGCGCGTTCAAAAAAACAAATTCTTCCGCTTTATATAATAGTATAAGATATCAGCTTTTTTCTTATTTTACTTCCTATACAAATGATCAACAATGTTTTAGTTTCTTTCTAGACCTATTCAAATTATTGAACAACACATAAATGCCTGGGTTCTCGAACATATATTTTTTTATCGTGCCTCATCTGCACATCTGTCCCGCGAGCAATGCACCCATCAATCGGTTACAGAAATACATTCAAGTGCATTCTAAACCTACTGGATGTAAGCGTGACCAAAATAGAACTTGAATACAAACAATAGATAAAAATGCGTTAAAAAGGGTGAATGAAATAGTTACGATCGCTTTTTTTGTAAGTTATTAGGTATTTGTGACAGTTATAGGCGAATTTATCAAGATACAGAGATGATGACTGGGTATGAAAATTAAAAATTTAATTAGTCCATCATCAGTTAGGTAATTAAATTATATTAGGCACGTATTTTTTTTTATTTTGCCGTATAAGAAAAGAATACTTCCTAAAAAGAAATCAAAGTTTAGGAGTGGGGGTTAAAACGTCATTTCTATAAAACATACATAGAAGCGACGTCACACGATATTTCAAATCAATATATCATCAAAACATTGTATAGTGGCATAATGTACACCTCTGCCTATCCCTTCGAGGATAAAAGGCGTGATGGTTTGTTATATCATCAAAAGTATTTGATTATGTAAGAAAGTAAAAAGTACGGGTCTAATGTTTTAAAATAATGTACCAGACGGACACAATACATATTAGTCATCCACCTCTTTTGTATAAACAAATAAGAATTAATTAACAATGTCAGTCAATAGTACAAAAGTACTGTGGCCTTAGTACGAGTTTTAATTTACGTTTAAAGTATTCGAAATGAGTACGCGTTCGGCACTCTGATTGGCCGGCGCCAATGAACCAACCAATCACAGCGCCGAACGCGTACTCGTTACGATTACTTTAAACGTAAAACAAACTCGTAAACACGGCCACACATCAATCTATACAAAACCAGTTTATCCTGGTGTCGCGTCTCATCATCTTTCCGAACAGTTAACGTTCAGTTTATACTGGTTATGTAAAGCTTGATGTGTAGTTGTGTGTACTAAAGCCTCTGTATCAAGATTAAAGAGTTGAGCACCATGTATAGGACCAGATCAACAACACTTTACCTGTTTAGAACACTCTTAAAATACGTTGTATTTGTTTTCAGGAAACCAAACAAACTGAGCGTGGTGTGGACGAGGCGTTCCAGGCGGGTGATCACGGATCCATTGGAATGGGAGCCGTCGCTCAAAGATCCACTCAAGTATGTATAATTATATGATATATCATGGTGGCCAGGAGCTATTTTTTATATTGAATATGTCGGTAAACGTGCAAACGGATCACCTGGTGGTAAGCAATCGGTGCCACCCATGGACACCCGAAACACCAAAGGTGCTTTACCAGCCTTTTTGGGATTAGGAATTTGAGAATTGTTGGGGAATTGGGGTTGGGTAGATGTGTCGACACTGGGGTTATTTCGTAACTTCACTCACACGATGAAACATAAAGTAAGTGTTGTTTCACTCGCCCACGCCACTGACAAACTGTAAAAGTGTGAAATGAAAACATCGTGAGGAAATTTGGACTTATAATTTCTAATTATAAGTTTAATATCGCCAACTCGCATTGAGCAAGCATGGTGATTAATGCTCAAACTTTCACCATGTGAGAAGAGGCTTTTGGTCAGCAGTGGACACTTACAGACTGTTGATGAAGATGATGTTTTTATTAACTAAGTGAGAAATAATAATATATTTTTTTGTATCCAGAGGGTCCGTCATATACACGGTGCCAGAGAATCGAACGGTGGCCGTCACGCTGTTCAAGGACTCGCGCACCAACGAGCTGGAGGACAAAGACTGGACATTTGTGCTTGAAGATGTAAGTTTATTGTTTATTTTGTAAACTTTAAAATATATGAGGTTTGTAATTTATTTTTCATAACGCTAGGCACAGGGTCTGACATACGCGCTGTTGCATAATGTTTTGCGGGTCCGATTCCCGCACAGAACTTTTTTCTTTCTAGGTTTGATGTGATGTAATTTCTTAAGTTTATGAACACACCCGAGCATAGTTTTAACATAATTTTCGAGTGAACGAAGATTATTTTTGTCGACACGCTTGAAGTTTCGCGAAAGAGATGAATGAACTTTAGTATCTAATAATGATGAGGTGTTTAAATGTATTCTTTCTTTCAATTGTATATTTATTGAGTAGTGTAGGTTGTTGTTTTTTTTTAAATAAGTTTATAAATAAATAGAAGAAGATTCTGGTGTAACCACTTAAACATCTTAAAAATCTATATTATCCTTGTTTAGGGTTCTGGTATAGCTCGAAACTAATCGAGCATACCCGAAAATAATCCAAGCATATTTTTAGTTAACCTTTTTATTCCCCAGGTATCAATAACAGGCAAGCGTCGTCGCCTCGGCGTATGTTCAATAAATATGCGGAAGTTTGCAAGCTTGGAGCCCTCACAGCGCGCGCTGGTACTGACCCTGGAACCCACTACACATAAGGTGGTGGCCATGTCTCTACACCTCACTCTACATTGTGTGCTGTTGAGGGAGGGGCAGGCTACGTATGTATTTTTTGTTGTTGTTATGCTGTAGTTACTGATAAGTTTAAGACTTTGACTGCCAATAAAAAACTGTTGAAGGTAAATCCTCCGCTAACGCCGGTCACTGGTGACCCCCATGGCGTTTAACGTGTTAAGTAAAAAAAAAATGTTTTTTTTAGAAAATTTCTATAGTTTTTAATAAGATGAACTTTATTTAATAACTAGCGACCCGGCCCGACTTCGTACGGGTGCAATATCTATGTATTATACATATAAACCTTCCTTAAGAATCACTCTATCTATTAAAAAAACCTCATCTAAATCCGTTGTGTAGTTTTAAAAATCTAAGACGAAATATTATTATGATGACTTCCAGCGATGAAGACATGCAGTCCCTGGCGTCTCTTCTGTCAGTGAACAATAACTCCGACATCGCAGTGTTGGAGGACCTCGACGAGGACGACTACACGTTGTCCGATAATTCGACTAGACAGGTAATTGTATTATATATCTTTATTTAAGATTTCTACAATTTTATTATATGTATAGATAGTTATTCCTAAATATACTTGTTTAGCAAGCAACAACGACTAATATAGGCTTAATAATACATAAAAACATAAAAAAACATAACATCACGCCTTTTATCCCCGAAGGTGTAGGCAGAGGTGCACATTACGGCACTTAATGCCACTGTACAATGTAACACCTACTTTTCACTATTTATGTTATGAGTCCCATGTAATTAAAGGCAATAGGCTCACCCCCTGGTGAGCCTATTGCCATATACCGGGCACATTTCCAGACTTCGTGCTACTACCGAGATTTTTTTTAAAACCCAGTAATACTTTGCCCGACCCGGTAATCGAACCCGAGACCCCTTGCCCGGCAGTCGCACTTACGAATACTCGGCCAATGAGGCAGTCTTAATGCTTAAGGCTTAATAATATCAACGTTAAAATAAAATAAATGGGATTATAGCCAGAATACTTTTCTATGTACGATAGTTAATTTAAATTAAATGACCGTTTAAATAATCTATTTTATCGTTTAAATTACCATTGACTAACAAGCTAAAACTAACAACTTTATATAATACAACTAAAAAAAAAAAAAAAAGTTACGGAGATTAGGGCGTTCAAACAAAAAAACAAACTCTTCCGCTTTATATAATAAGTCTAAAATTGGTTTTCAAGTTAAACTATTTCCCTTTACAGATGTTGGATCTTCGACAGCAAATGGAAGAGATGACCCAAAGTTTAACAAACAGTGACATAGCGGCGACCCCAAACAGCGTACAGAGTCTCAACTTCGACAATTCCCGAACCCCAACAGCCCCCATCACCCCAGAGACCACGACCCCAACCACACCCGTGCCTTCAGACCCCACGCCAAACGACAACGATGTGACTAACGACCCCATACCAAAAACAAGGCCAGAAATGTTAAGCAATCTCACTAAAATGGTAATGAAACCAGAACCTAAGTATTTTTCGACCCCCAAAACGAATAATGTTATTAATAATGAGCCTAAAAGTGAGATAAAGGGGGTCGTTTTTAAGCCTAAGACGGTGGCCATGAGGAATCTGAAGCCTTTGGAGTTAAAGACAAATTTGAACAGTATTAATTTGGATAGAAATGAGAATGAGAAGGATGAGGACAGTGATAAGACTCCAACTGCTGCTGATATGGAGAAGCTGTTTCCTGGCAAGTTTGATAAGGATAAAACGCCGGTAAGTTGGACTATTTGATAGTTTATTGATTAACACGTCAATTGACTTTCAACTTTATGATGTTGTAATAAAGTCGAACTTGCAAAATTTGAAGTGATTGAATGAGTTAGTGAGCATTTTACGAGTAAAATTCAATACGCCATGTTAGAAAATGCGTTACTGTTGAGTATTAGAACTTGAAAATCTTGAAGACTGCACGGTTAATGTGTCGCGGGTTCGATTCCCGCACGGAGCAACTCTTTGTGTGATCCACAAATTGTTGTTCCGTGTCTAAGTGTCATGTGTATGTGAACTTGTATGTTTGTAAACGCACACACGACACAGGAAAAAATCCTAGTATGGTGCAATGCGTAAAAACAAATTCTTAAAATTTGTCGACACTTAACTCCTTCGTAGATGGTCTTAGCCACGACTCTATAAAACCAGTCTCGAAATCATTTACTAACCCGAGAATTGTTTTATTGGACATACATTTTTGATAACTCTAGGACTCTTTCTAATGATATAAATGCTTCTCAACTATTTCTTTACTAGCTTTTACCCGCGGCTTCGCTCGCATCACAAAAGGATAAAAAGTAGCCTATGTGACATATACCAATACACACAGCGCCATCTATACCAATACTTTTGTTTTCGCTCGGGAATATCAAATTTTTCCGGTATAAAAAGTACTCTACTATTTAATCCGGACTTCTAACTTTACGTCTGCAAAAATTCAAAGCAATCGGTTTAGTAGTTACGGCGTCAAGGCGGAACAAACAAACAAACAAACTCACTTTCCGATTTATAATATTAGTAAGGATGTAGGGCGACTGTATTAGATTATTTTGTACGATTTACTTATTCTTATTGTTCTATCCTTCAGGTCCAGGACCTCCTGGAATGGTGTCAATCAGTGACCCGCGAGTATCGTTCCTGTCGAGTGACCAACCTGACCACGAGCTTCCGCTCCGGCCTGGCCTTCTGTGCCATCATACATCGGTTCCGACCTGATCTCATGTTAGTATATACATTTTTGTAATTATTTTATATAGATTTTAGTAGCAACTATTGACTGCCTCATTGGCCGAGTGGTCGCAAGTGCGACTGCCGGGCAAGAGGTCTCGGGTTCGATTCCCGGGTCGGGCAAAGTATTAATGGGTTTTTAAAAATCTCAGTGGTAGCTCGGAGTCTGGAAATGTGCCCGGTATATGGCAATAGGCTCCCTATTACATGGGACTCATAACATAAATAGTGAAAAGTGGGTGTTACATTGTACAGTGGCATTAAGTGCCGAAATGTGCACCTCTGCCTACCCCTTCGGGGATAAAAAGGCGTGATGTTACGTTATGTTATGATTTTAGTAGCGGTTAGAAAAAACCTTTTCTCAATGAGGGCCAATGTTTTCTGCTCACCAGTATATATAAATATACTCATACCAAAATAACACTTTCTACAATTTTTGTCTGTCTGTCTGTTTGTTTTGGCTAATGTCTGAAATGGCTGGACCGATCTTGACGGGGCTTTTACTGGTAGATAACTGATGTAGTAAGGAGTAAAGTATCCCACTTTTGTTTTGGAAAATTTAAACATAAATAGTTATGTTCTAAAATTCCCATTCTATGTAAACGAAGTCGCTGGCAACAGCCTTCTTCCATAAAATCATGTTATGATAATTGACTAAACTATTATTATTACAAAATTCCAGTGACTTCTCCGGCCTGCAACCTGACGAGGCGGAGAAGAACCTCCGCGTAGCTTTGGAAGCTTCCTCCAAGCTTGGCATATCTCAAGTACTGACTGCCGCCGACGTATGTTCCAGGCAGATACCTGATAGACTCGCCGTATGTATTTTAATGTTATTTTATTAGTAGACCGGTATTTTCTGTAGACGGTTTTTTTTAAGTAGGTGGTATTTTATGTGAGCGGTCTTTTCTGTAGACGGCCTTTTTAGTTTATTGATATTTCATGTAAACGGTATTTTCTGGAAACGGTATTGTAAGTAAAAGGTCTTTTCCATAAATGGTATTTTTAACAAGATTTTTATTTTATTTGTTTTCTTATATTGTGACTGTTTGATATTATATTTTGATATTATATATGTGGTTTTAAACCGGGTTAACGTAGTAAATAAATAAATAAATATTTTTTTATATAAAAGAAATAAGTACTGACTAGTTATTTAATATGTATACTTTGTCTACTCCTTTAGAAAATTACATGCGTATGACGGTTATTTGACGATGTATTTTTTTTTCAGATAATGACATATCTGTTTCAACTGCGCGCACATTTCACCGGCAACGAATTACAAGTAGAACAATTAGGTATGTAGATGCATTTTTAGTTAGTAATGTAGTTTTTCTATTTTTCTCAATAAATTAAAAAATAAAACCATGATTAAGCCTCGCTAGACTGACACACAATTGTGTATGTAGTTTAATTGAAATAAATGCTTTGACTTTGACATTCAAAGCCACCTTTTTTGATGGAATTAAATAATTAAAATAAATGCTTTGACTTTTAATGCACCCTTTTTTGATGGAATTTAAATAAATGCCTTGATTTTAACATTAATTCTTTATTCCCAGGTAACGACGAGACGGAGTCGTCGTACCTGGTGGGTCGTCACGACACAGACGGCTCTATACCACAGGAACTGTTCAGCAGGGAGATCAGCACTCGACGGTCCAGGAATATGATGGACAGACCACGGCCTGGGTCAGTATTTTGTGCTATTTTGTAAAGTGTTGGGTAGGTTAGGTTAGAAATGAAGAATAAACTGTCGCCTGCCGGTATTTCTAAATCAATATGATCTTCGAACCTTCAAGAACAGAGCATATTTCTATGTATTTAGAACGTCTGCAACGGACTTGTAACTCTTCTGGAGTCGTCGTCGAAATCATAAAAAATACATATTCATCATCAACGGCCTATAAATGCCCACTGCTGAGCAAAGCCTCTTCTCACACGGAGAAGGTAAGAGCATTAATCACCACGCTTGCTCAATGCGGGTTGGCGATTTCAAACTTATAATTAGAAATTAAAAATTATAAGTCCAGGTTTCCTCACGATGTTTTTCCTTCACCGTTTGTCAGTGGTGTCTAAATAATCTTAGAAAGTACATATAACTCGGAAAAAGTCACATTGGTACTTGCCGTTGGTAGGTTTCGAACCCGCACCCTCATGCATGAGAAGTGGGCGTCTTAAACCTCGGGCCACCTCGACAAAAAAAAAATACATATTGGAACAAGCCTAAAACACAACCATTGTCCTCAACTCACTACGGAAACTTTCACCTCCCATTTTCCCACAGGTCACAAGAATCCCAAGAGTCCAGAGCTTCAGTAGACCGGTCTACTCCTGAACAACCGTCTCCGGGAGGAAGGAAGGATGTCAGAGACCTCCTGCATCAGTCGAAGGCTATACTTGGCAAGGTCTTGTCTCCCGCTCGAGACCATAAACCTAGTGCTAAGTGGTTCGCTGACCCGCTTAAGGTTAATGAGGTAAGTTAGCTTAACCTGTGAAATTAGTAGATCGACAGACAAGCGGTTAAATTAGTTATGAATTTAGGTTTGAGTAGTAAATATGATATTTACGGATTATGTAAATGATTTACGATTCTGATTTGTAAGTTGTATGGTTACCACGATGCTCGACTAGTTTCGGGATACTTTAGGACTCATTCATTAACTGTCGTACACATATAGCCTTATGCGCCCCGGTATAACTCGTTAATTTATTTTTTAAAATCGTTGCCCCACATTAAGATTTTCTCCTGTGTCGTGTTTACAAACATACAAGTTCACTTACACAATGACACCCAGATCCGAAACAAACATTTGTGGATCACACAAAGTGTTGTTCCGTGCGGGAATCGAACCCGCGACACGTTGCACGGCAGCCGGTTGCCCAGCCACCGCACCAACCGTGCAGTCAAAATAGTTGCGTTCCAATTCTTTTAAAAGGGGTTTAATCCCACTCTTTTGTGGTTACTTCTGATTGTCTGTATAATTTTAATAATTGAAAATATCCTACATGAAATGTATCATTTTAATTTGTCTTTTGATTCCCAGCCACCCCCAGTGCGTCCGGAGAAGTTGATGACCCGCAAAGAGTTGACGGATCCATTCGGATCTGATGAGGAGGAGGAAACGCAGGAGCCACCACCTCCAGCACCAACGAATAATGGAAACAATGTGAATAATGGGAACAATGAAATTGGTATGTTTTGTCATACATTATTAATAATTTTATCACATAACATCAGGCCTTTATCCCCGAACTGTTTTTTACTATATTTTTCGTGTTATATTGTATTTTGTGACGGTGCAAATAAACTATTTTTCTTTCTTCTTTCTTTCTTTCATCAAAACACTGAATCAGCAATTATGTCTGTTATATATAGGTGGGCGAAGCTTTAGAGTAGTTATACTTAAAAAATGTGCTATAAAAATGTAATTGTATTTATTGTTCAAGCCATTTATAATGAATAAGATTCATTTATAATGAATAAGATCAACTTTTTTTATTAATATCATATCAGACGAGTGAAGGGTAAAACTGACTACTGAGTGGAGCCCACTCAACACACTTGACGCTAATGAAAAGTATTGGCTACAGAAAGCTATAAGAAGAGACGAGTGGAAGGAGGGTAGGGAAACCTTTGCCCTGCAGTGGGACGACCATGGCTAAAAATAAAATAAAATAGCATTCTTCATTTTGTAACTCAACTGTTTAAATTTTATTTAACCCAATTATCTTATTTTCAGTAGCACCCCAATCAGACACGACCCCATCAGAACCGATAGTAACAACAGACCCACTAACTCAACCAGAACCGGATAACCGGGTAACCGCACCACCGAAACCAACCACACCAGAATTACCCAAACCGACACCGGTAAGTCAAATTCTGTGTTTTAGGAATGGCTTGAAACTTGTTTTGTAGTGTGTTTAGTGTCTAAAAGAGGTTGTAGCCAGAATAAATATATATATATATACTAGCGGACCCGACAGACGCACTTGTCCTGCATATCCACTTGATGTATAAACAAAAATTCATTCAAATTAGTTCAGCCGTTTAGGATAAAAAACCTAGACACCGACTGCAGCGCCATCTGCCGGGCTGATTTGTGAATCTAAACCATTCCCAGATCCCCTTGAACACACACACAAAAATTCATCAAAATGGGTCCAGTCGTTTGAGAGAAGTTCAGTGACATACACACTCACAGAAGAATTATATATATAAAGATTTTTAATAAAAGGACTTTTGCATGTAATAGGACCTGTTTTTAACGCAACATTGAATGATATTGTGTAGTTCATATACCATTAAGTGATCAATCCCTAAGCAGTCACCGGTGACCACACTCACTAACTTTATTCTAGACCTTATTTCCAATGTTTAGAGACTACTTTTGTATGAACAAAAGTTGTGGATTTGTCTGACATTTACGGGTTAAAATGTATATTTTATCTGAAATTATGGCCGGTATATAGCAATAGACTCCCCCTATTACGTGGGACTAATAATATAACTATTGAATAGTTAGATGTTACATTATGTAGTATTGAGAAGTGAAGAAAAGACGTCGTAATTATTATGTTTTCGGCTTACTCACGTAAATGTTTGACTAGGAATTCGACTAGCTTGAATCTAGTCGAGTTAATTAAGTATGTCTCACGAAAGTTATAATACAAAAATATTCACACACTTATACCAGATTCCTCTTGAATCCTATCTATAAAAAAACCGCATCAAAATTCGTTGCGTAGTTATAAATATAAGCATACATAAGGACAGACAGACTTTGTTTACTATGCAGTGATTTTGCAAATTACATGTCTATCAAAAATACATCTTACATCTTTATATATATAATTCTTCTGTGAGTGTGTATGACACTGAACTTCTCTCAAACGACTGGACCGATTTTGATGAAATTTTTTGTGTGTGTTCAAGGGGATTTGGGAATGGTTTAGATTCACAAATCAGCCCGGCAGATGCCGCTGCAGTCGATGGTTAGGTTATTTATCCTAAACAACTGAACTAATTTGAATGAATTTTTGTTTATACATTCAAGTGGATATGCAGTATTCTATATATCTTTATTGTGACTAATTATTTTTATGTGTTTCTGGCTACAACCTCAAATCATGTTTGGTTTCGAAAATATCATGAAACGAAATACTTCAAATCCAAAAGATACATACGGACACTGTATCTTTACATTATACATATGTATTGTGTGTTACTGACCTTTTATATATATAATTACATATAATGTATAATTCGTTATATTCTAGTTTTGTTATAAGTATAATTGAGAATAATTTACTTGAGTATTAGTTTAGTGTTTCAAAATTAATACAGGGTTTCCCAACTTACGGTTTGCAGACAAAATATTAGACAATAGAATATGATTATTATTTTAGTTAATATAAATTAGGTTTGATAGTAATTGTGATTGTTATGAATGAACATACGTGAACATACCTACGTGAACGTAAATGACCATACCTTTCAAAATCAACGTCAAAGTCAAAATCATTTATTTCAATTAGACCAAGGAGGCACTTTTGTCAAAAAAAAATATTTAAATATTGACGAAAAAATTACAGTCTGTCGGTCAGTTCTCCAGTTGCTCTATTTGCTCATTCCACAGTGTGGATTCCTATGTAGAAGAACGACCAAGAAACTCCATAGGTTACTCTTTTCCAATCAGGTTCATAATACAATTTAATTGCAATAACATATGCCACTTACTAGAAACAATATTTAAAAATAATCATGTAAACTAAGATTATTTGTAGTGTACACGAAATGAAAACGATTTTATTTCACTTGATTTATTTTGTTTAACTATCATTTTTTCGGAGCAAACTGACATTAAAGTAATTTGAGAATTAGGTAAAAAGAAACATATTTGCGTTAAAAACTGATTGGGAAGCCCTGGTTTTTATTAGTTTAGTGTATTAATGTCATTCTAATAGGCTGAGTAGTGTTATAGAATTTAGTCAATTAACTACAGTTAGTGTTTTTAGGAGATATTAAATAATTAGTATTGTATTTGTAAATATATGTTTGGTATTAACAGATTTGAAACATTTTTAGTTATATTCGAAGTAGATAATTATTAGTTAATAATATTCATAAATTGATTTATTATCATAGCATACTTGTAGAATCAAAATTTACTCGATTTAAAAAAAATGCTAAGAACTTTGGATTCGAATGACCCAAGCTATCCCTATTAATTTGTCTTTACTATAATCAACTTCGTAGTTTAACAGTAAAAGTGTAACAGACATACAAACATTTACTTTCATATTTTATTCATTATTTATAGAACAAATCAATGGGTAAAAATATTGTCATGTCTTATTGGGGTGTATTTTATGGGAAATGTTTGTCCTTTGTCCCGAGTTTGGGGTGTAAAAAAGTTATATATGCTAGTGCGATACAATGCTAACGTTTACTCATTAATCGCCATAATCGTTTAACATGATACGGTCAGCAAAATAAATAAAATATTACTTAATTTCCTTAACAACATATAATTATACATAAAAAAAACTTTATAATTTCATTCCATATTTGTTTTGCCGACCGTAAAATTAAAAAAGAATCCGTCATTTGTTTCCATTGCCCATCGACACTGCTTACAACAATGCCTGTGTTTGACGCTTCTGATTGGACGACGCTATGTAACCCCGCTTCGCTGATTGGTCGATTATCACGTCACCATCGATTGCCATTGGCCAGCAATTGTTATCGCGTCATGATGAGTTGAAAGAGAGAGCGAGACAGCTGCTTGAAGCAACGAAAAGAGAGGCGAGGGAGAAGGACAGAAAATTGAGACAAAAAGAGAAAGAAGAGAAAGAGAATGGACATAGGAATGGAGATGTGAGTCCTAAAAAGGTATGTTTTGAATTAATTATTATTACGGTTTACCCGGTTAGTGTTGAGTAAATCGTAATTGTAATTAATGTAGTATTTCATGATAGGTATGTTTTAGTTAGTGCTGCCCATAATATAGAATATCAGTAGAATAGTTGTTATTTTTGTCATTTGGCCATTTTTTCTTCTTGCAGTAAAATTGGTTAGGAAAAAATCAAATTGTCGTTAATGATTCGCTTAAATATTGAACATAAGTACCGATTGTATGATGTTTAAACTGTGACACTAGCTTTTCCTTGCGGCTTTGCCTGCGTTCGCTTTCACGAATAGTAAATTTTTGACTAAAAATTATATACAATAATGAATTTAGTTCTTTGTATAAAATTAGTAAAAAGATTTCATTACTCTTCTTAAACACGTTTAAGACAAATCAAAGTCAAAATCATTTATGTATTTCAATTAGACCAGAAAGGCACTTTTTAACGTCAACAAAAAAATTAAAAGTGAAGCTATTTGCTCATTCCAAGGTGTAGATTCCTATGGAGAAGAACGAGCAAGAAACTCCATAGGTTACTCTTTTTCAATCAGATTCACAATACAATTCTCCAGTTGAATTACGTTAAGACGTTAATATGGCGCCGATGACTGACATTAAATGGCGGAATTTTGCCATTAAATACTTTTATAATCTATATATTACATAAAGACAAGCAATCATAGTATATATTGTTATAAAAAACAAAAAAAATATTTTATACTTCAGTATTTTTGTATACAGCACCTAATTCACTTATATAATTTTGACGCAAGCACTCGATGTTGCTGCCTATATGTTTTTAACATAATAAAATAGTACCTAACATATATATGTAATTATTTGTAGCCAATGACGGAGGAAGAGAGACAGGCGATGTTGCGAGAAAGAGCGAGAAAACTCATCGCTGATGCAAGAGCTGGTATTGTTAGGTAAGTCAATTATATTAGATTGATTGCGTCGTTGGCCGAGTGGACGCAAGTGCGACTGCCGGGCAAGGGGTCTCGGGTTCGATTCCCGGGTCGGGCAAAGAATTACTGGGTTTTAAAAAAAATCTCAGTAGTAGCACGGAGCCTAGAATTGTGCCGGTATATGGCATAGGCACCCCCTATTACATGGGACTCATAACATAAATAGTGAAAAGTGGGTGTTACATTGTACAGTGGCATCATGTGCCTACCCCTTCGAGGATAAAAGGCGTGATGTTATGTTATGTCAATTATATTAGACTAGCTATTAGATACTGCACGGTATTTATGACCGCACGGTTGGTGCGGAGGCTGGGCGACCGGCTGCCGCGCAACCTGTAGAGGGTTCGATTCCCTCACGGACACAAATACTAGTGTGAGGCATAGCTTTTTTTTAAAAAAAGAAGAAGTTTTTTTTTATGGAATACTGACGGCGCTAATCGCTTACCATAGGCGATCAGCGCCGTCCATGGACATTTGTGAGTTACATTTGCGTATATTTTTGTTTTGAGTCCGACCTCACCTCTATCTCCGTCGCGGAACTCCCGCTCGGGCACCGTCGAGATCATCAGCAAACAATCCGTCATGGATGAAATTGTTGCAGGTAAATAACGAACTCAATATTTATACCACAGTTATGCCCGAATACTGAAACGCTACTCAATTTTAAGTCACACTTAAGTATAGTTCTGTCTCTACAAATTCTTTGTAAAATGACAGAGATGGCATGATATTTAAGCACGACTTAAAATTGAGTAACGTTTCAGTATTACGGCATCAATCGTTTTACCACAGTCATTTAACTATGTGGCGACGCATGTCACATGTCAACGGATGACGTCACAAGAATCCTACATCGCACATGCAAAGTTTACAAGCGAATAAACACGGATAGAAAATCCCAACGAACAACTGTTGGGCAGAAAGCCCGCCAGGCACGATCACCTCGCCTGGTCGGAGGATCCTCCTTTTCCGATATTAGGGAACTATACTCTCTGTTCCCTACAACTATAATGCAGCTTTGAGTAATGGTGAAGTTTATATTACAACTTTCGTTGGACATACTAAAATTAATTATTATGTATTGCGGCTTATTCACGTATCTGTTTGACGAGGAACTCGACTAGTTTCAAGCCATGCTAGAGGCTCATATTCATGAGCAGCATTCCGCGACCCGCGACGCGGCGACCATTGCCCTGCTTGAAACGAGTCGAGTTCCTCGTCAAATAATTAGCCGAAAAACAGTAACTACAAGGAAAGTTATGGAGTTCTTATTGTATTTGTATTGAGGAAAAGAAATATACCTTAACCCTTTGAGTACCGTCATTATAGACACAATTAACTCGTCGAGTACAGTATTTATAGACACAATTAAAGAACAATAGGTTGCGGCCACCGGTGTCCTCGCGGTGTTTGACAGTTTAATTGTAAGATGTTAAAGGTGTAATTTAATTGTTGGTTCAGAATGCATCGTCAGTATGTGGATTGTCCTTGATAGGACCTTTAAAAGTTCAAGAAAAGATTTTAATCCTTTTAAAATAGTCGACAGTAAACTTTTAACTCTTTTGGTTTTGTGGGTGTAGAAGTATCACATATCACGGCCTATAAATGCTAACTGCTGACCAAAGGCCTCTTCTCACACGGAGAAGGTTTGAGCATTAAACACCGCGCTTGCTCAATGCTGGTTGGCGATTACAAACTTATAATTATTAGAAACTAGCTTTTTCCCGCGGCTTCGCTCGCGTCACAAAAGGATAAAAAGTAGCCTATGTGACATATACCAATACATACAGCGCCATCTACACCAATACTTTTGTTTTCCCTCGGGAATAAAAATTTTTTTCGTAAAAAGTACCCTATTATTTAATCCAGACTACTAACTTTATGTCTGCAAAAATTCAAAGCAATCGGTTTAGTAGTTACGGCGTGAAATCGGAACAAACAAACAAACGAACTCACTTTCCGATTTATAATATTAGTAAGGATTATAAGCCCAGGTTTCCTCACGATGTTTTCCTTCACCGTTTATCGGTGGTGTCTAAATAATCTAAGAAAGTACATATGACTGGGAAAAAGTCACATTGGTACTTGCCGTTGGTAGGTTTTGAGCCTGCACCCTCATGCATGAGATGATCTTTAATCTCCAGGTCACCACGACACGTAGAAATGTGAAGGTAGATAAATATATAGTTGTTTATGTTCCAGCGGGAGGCGTGGAACAGTTGGATGCGTTACTCGGCCGGACGGACTCTCTGCCCTCTACTCCTGGCTCCAGGAAGAGCTCCGTCAGTCCTGATAGATCTGGTGAGATATTACATTGTTTTTCTTTCTTTTACTAGCTGTTGCCCGCGATTTCGTCCGCGTAGGAAATGATTCCTGTTTTGTCCCATAAGAATATTTAGAGTCTGGCAAACGAAAGTAGAGACTGAAAAAACCTGGAGTAACCTAATTTGATACTTTATAATAATTTGTTTGTTTGTTACGTCTTCACGTCTGGTTACTCCAGGTATGACATACTAATTTTTGGGTTGCGATACTGATATTTTTTAAATTTGCCGGGCTTTTTCAGTCTCTACTTTCGTTTGCCAGACTCTAGTTAGGCTAAAAAGGCTATCCTAAGTCAGCCCATACTCCGCCTGTATATCAAATTTAATCAAAATCCGCCTTGCTTCGCCTTGATTGACGGACAAACATCCAAATAAAGAAGCTTTTACATTTATAATACTATTGTGATACTGTTTTAGTTCTCTTGTTTTTATACATAACATATTTGATTGTTTGTTAATCTTTTTATTGAAAACCATAAGGTGGTATTTGAAGAAACTGAGGTAGTTTTATAAAAAGAAAGTATAAAATGTCTCAGTTTTTGACTATAAGAGGTGCAAATAAAATAAAAATGTACTCTGCAACTCAATTATGTTTTTTTAAGAAAGAACTATACTTACGTACATCGTACATTTAACGCAGGTGCTAACTGTGCATCTGGCTTAATCGTACGAATACTTGTGCTCAGTGATAACAAAAATATCCCAAACAATAATTATAAAACATTATTATTGTTTGTCGTCTCAAGCAGGCATCATCACGCCTGTTTAATTCATCATTAACCTGTTGTAGCCGGAATGCAAATTGGCGCGTGACACAATATGTTTTCTATTGAGTCTAATAAGACCTTATAACCTCTTGTATGCCATGTATGCCAGTAGATGAGTGTATCTAACAATAAGGAATGACCCTTAACCGGTTACCGGGGCTCCGGCTCGACGTGCAGGAGAAGGAACGGGGTGGTTTTTAGTCAGTGAGAGTCTGACACTCCCTCCCGCCTCACCTGGGCGGGAGCAGCCAATCGATGATTTCTCACTTTAAAAAAAACCGGTTTTTAAGGATCATTCCTTGTCCATAAAAAAGATGTATTTTCTAAGCCATGGAATATTAAGAAACTGATGACGAATATTACTATGATAATTCCCCAGAGGAGCGTCACAGTTCAGACGGGCGCAGTATAAAGTCGGTGTCGCTGAGCGCGGGGCGGCGCTCCCCGCTGCAGTCCTTCGCCGCCATCGTCGACACGCTGCCCGGGGACGACCTGCACGACGCAGACGAGGTAATGGGTTTCATTTATTAATGGCTGCCAAATGAACAAACAAATAAAACTCGTAAATAAGCAATCAGCACCGCCTATATACGTCCGAAATACCAAAGGCGTTACAAGCGCGTTCTGGTATTTTAGCTTATATTAATACTAGCGGACCCGACAGACGTTGTCCTACATATAATGTAATTATAATAGGTATAGATAAATAACCTAGATATCGACTGCACCACCATCTGCCGGGCTGATTTGTGAATCTAAACCATTCCCAGGACCCTTGAACACACACAAAAAATTTCATCAAAATGGGTCCAGTCGTTTGAGAGAAGTTCAGTGACATACACACTCACAGAAGAATTATATATATAAAGATCGTACTACATATCGTACGACTGCCTCGTTGGCCGAGTGGTCGCAATCGTGACTGCCGGGGCAAGGGGTCTCGGGTTCGATTCCCGGGTCGGGCAATTTATTACTGAGTTTTTAAAAACATTCTGAGTAGTAGCACCGTGTCTGGAATTGTGCCCAGTATATGGCAATAGGCTCGCCCCCTATTACATGGGACTCATAATATAAATAGTGAAAAGTAGGTGTTACATTGTATAGTGGCATTAACTCGTTGAGTACCGTCATTATAGACACAATTAAAGAACAATAGGTTGCGGTCACCGGTGTCCTCGCGGTGTTTGACAGTTTAAGTGCCGTAATGTGCACCTATGCCTACCCCTTCGGGGAAGAAATGCATGATGTTAGTTATGTTATGAAACTCCACTGGTATGCGTACTCCCCCAGGGCAAGGAGTCTGGGTCGTACATCCAGAGCGAGCTGGAGGCGCTGGAGCGGGAGCAGGGCGCCATCGACGAGCGAGCCGCCGCGCTCGAGAAACAACTGCGACGCGTCATGGAGTCGGCGGATAACACAGAGGTACTTATTAGGGTTTATTGTTATTTAAACTTTATTTTCAGGCAACTGTGGCTTATAGATACATATTTTTTTTAATTAAACCCTTTCCTCGACTTGTATTTTTTCGTGTGTGTGTCCTGTGTCGTGGTTACGTTTACAAACATACAAGTACACATACACATGACACCCAGACCCGGAACAACAATCTATGGATTACACAAAGAGTTGCTCCGTGCGGGAATCGAACCCGCGACACGTTGCACGACAGCCGGTTGCCCAGCCACCGCACCAACTGTGCACTCGTAATTAATTATTATGTTTTCGGCTTATTCACGCAACTGATTGACGAGGAACTCGACTAGTTTCAAGCCATGCTACAGGCACATATTCATGAGCAGCATTCCGCGACCCACAACGATATTAGCTTATACCATGGCTTGAAACTAATCAAGTTCCTCGTCAAACAGTTACGTGATCAAGCCGAAAATATAATTAATTATTATTTATTTATTTATTAACGCTTCATGCACAAAGTGTACACAAGATGAACTTAATGCCGCAGGCATTTTCTCCCAGTCTGACCTTTGTATTAGTATGTCACGAAAGTTTTAATACTTCCAGAGAATGTGGAGAAAACTATTCCTAACCTGTATTCAAGTTCCTACGGACCCGGTAACATTATACCTTACCTTTATCATATAGCCTACATTATCTATCCAACACCTAAGAATATGTCTCATGAAGGTTATAAATATGTAGTAGTGTTATATCGTAAGTAGAGTAAAACGTAAATATTTCGAAATTCTTCTACCAGTGAGTTCGAGTAGGCTCTTGATTATTTTAGATGTATCGTTAAAATATGAACATCATTTTTAGATTATTTTTATATGTTTAGCTTATATAGACTGAAAACGAACGGAACGCTCCCCAAACGCTGAAAAATGTTTTTGTACAATTTCAATCGTGAATATACTAAGAAAAGCTCTATTAGTTTCGAACCATAGTGGTTCTTAATGAGCAGCGTGCGCGGTCGCGGCAATGTCGCACAGCTCACTATTTTTAGTTAATCTAGCATGTCTCACGATAGTTATTAAAAAAACAAAATTTCAATTGTTTTTGTTTTCACAGTTGATTGCAATAATTGGTACATAAACGAAACATTGAATTCCTTAATTTGAACTTTATCCTTTCGAAAATAAAGAAGAAAAGAGTTTGCGTTTTTCACGAGCGTCCTGTTTACGCCTTTTATAAGCAGTATAATATAAGTGTGTAAATTGTATGTAGTATTATGATATTATTAGAAAACTTTAAAACTCTTATAGATTTTGATACTACTCTTACTTTTGATATCAGAAACTTATTGGTTTTTTATGGCATAAGCCGGCAAACGAGCAGAGCAGATCACCTGATGGTAAGCAATCGGCGTCGCCCATGGACACCTAGAACACCAGAGGCGTTACAAGTGCGTTACCGACCTTTTGGGGATTAGGAGTTTGAGGACCGTTGGGGATTCAGGAATTGGGGAGATTGGGGAAGGGGAGGGTAATTGGGCCTCCGGTAACCTCACTCGCACGACGAAACACAACGCAAGCGTTGCTTCACGTCGCTTTACTGCTCGGCCGTGGTATCACTCCGGTCGAGCCGGCCCATTCGTGCCGAAGCATGGCTCTCCCACACCTAAAAACACATCAGATTTTAGAAACTTCGAAGGCAGGGAAATTAAGAAGTACAACTGTAGTGGTGGAATGCACTTAAATTGTTAACATCGAAATCAAATTACAAAATCAGGACTAGCTTAACCATAACTAATAAATTGGAAAGAAAAACAACAATAACACACAAATAGGCAAATTGACTTTCAAATAGATTTAAATTCCCTAAACACGCAGACAGAATAGAGGTAGACAAGTCTTCAGCGTATGCTGTATGAGATAGCGATAGTTTGATATAAGTACTTACCGATGAAAGGCTATTTTTGGTTGATTTCTTTCATTACGACTTTTATAGCTATATATACAGCAATTCACCATCATGCATACACTAAACATTACCTTTTGGAATGTCAATAAAATCACAAATTACACAAAGTTCGCGTTTTACAGTTTAAATGAACGAAAATATTCTGACATCACAGTTTGCCATCAACGACTGTGGTGGCAAGCAACAAAAAACCGATACGCAAATAGAGACAAAAAATATGCTATGTCCTGCTCACACATATAAATTTTGACACACGTGTCATCTCACTCTCGCAAATAAGAGCATGTCTACTTCTATTCTCTGTCTATACCTAAACACAAAAAACACCATTCCAATAACTTCCGAGTTTCCGCCATCTTGACTTTTTTCTTTTTCGAACCACAGATTAAATTTTCCCGCTACGCGATGACGTTTCTTTTTTTTTGTCTATGCTTCTAACAATATTATTTTGTGTAATATTTTGTTGTTTGGTTTCCAGGAGGAGGACCGTCTGATGTCTCAGTGGTTCAACTTGGTCAACAAGAAGAACGCGCTGCTCAGGAGGCAGATGCAGCTTAATATACTGTTCGTGTTTACTTTTTACTTTATATTTTTCAAGTTCAAAGTAGAAAGAATAATTAATTATAAAATATGCGACATCTACTTTTCATTAATAACTAGTCTAATTTTTAATGGTATAAGCCGGTAAATGAGCAGAACGATCACCTGATGGTAAGCAATCTGGAAGGTGTTACAACTTCGTTACCGGCATTTTTAGGATTAGGGATTTGAGGATTGTTAATTAGGCCTCCGGTAACCTCACTCACACGACGAAACACAACGCAAGCATTGTTTCACTTCGGTTTTTTGAGGCCATTTCAATTAGGGAACAAAACTATTGCTATTTTATGGATTTTAATCCAGATTTCGTGCGTAAACCTAATTTAAGGCAATTTTCTGGACAGTTAAGTGATTATTCATCCTAGAAAACACTACAATTGTTTAGTAGCAATGTTTTATGATACCAAACAGTGCAAAATCATATGGGCTTGTTAAAATGTTTGTACATTGAAATAAGCGGTTTTATTTGTAAGCATACGGCGATTTTTCTTTTTTTTTTCAGTAATGGGTTTACCTTGATCTTATATTGAATCAATTTTGCGAGTAATATGTTAACTAAAAATCGCGGGTTACTCACGTGAAAATATTGAGAAAAGCTCTACTAATTTCGAGCCACAGAGAGGCTCTTCCTCATGCGTGCGCGGTCGCAGTGATGTCGGGCAGTCTACTGACATCGCCTCAAACTGTTAGCATCGAAACTAGTAGAGCTTTTCTCAGTATATTCACGTGAGAACTTAATTTAGTATGTCTGACGAGAGTTTTGTGTTCCTAATGTACAACATATTGGTACGTGCAGTGAACAAGAAGAGGACCTCAGCCGTCGCTGCGAGCTGCTGGCGCGCGAGCTGCGCCTGTCGCTGGGCGTCGACGAGTGGAGGAAGACGCCCGGACAGAAGCGCAGGGAGCGGCTCCTGCTGCAGGTCGGCCGGGGGACGCGGGGGACGCGGCAGAACTCACTTAGGGCCGATTTCTCCAACGCCTAATAAATTCTATTAAAGGGAAACTGTTGTCACTACTCAAACTGCTGCACGGTTGGTGCGGTGGCTGGGCAACCACGGCTGCCGAGCAACGTGTCGCGGGTTCGATTCCCGCACGGAACAACACTTTGTTTGATCCACAAAATTGTTGTTTCGGGTCTGGGTGTGATGTGTATGTGAACTTGTATGTTTGTAAACGCACCCACGACACAGGAGAAAATCCTAGTGTGGGGCAACGCTTTATAAAAAAAAGCTACTCAATTTTAAGTCGTGCTTAACTACAGTTCTGTAGTGGGTAATTGCACATTAACCACTAACTGACTTAAAGAAATTATTCCCTATTAGTAGGTTATTAGAGTCCACTATAGCTTGGCTGCGTAGTGGTATAGCAGGAAAAATTAAGAACGAAACTCGAAGAAATGAATAGTATTATTAGACAGAAATAGGATGTATTTTGTCCTAATATTGTATTGTTACATTTCAGGAATTATTATCAGCTGTCAACGAGAGAGACAGGCTAGTACAAGAAATGGATGAGCAGGAGAGAGCGTAAGTGTCATAACATCACGTCTTTTATCCCAAAGGGTTAGGCAGAAGTGTATATTATCTACGGTACATAATGCCACTGTACAATGTAACACCCACTTTTCACTATTTATGTTATGAGTCCCATGTATTAAGGGGTGAGTCTATTGCCGTGTAATGGGCACTGTAAGTGTCATTAGTTAAAACAAATACGGTACTCAAACCCCGATTCGAACTCAAAACCATTTAGCAATAACATGAGTGGCACATAGGTACTTGACACTACGCCATGTATAAGGTAAATTAACTCGTCGAGTACCGGTTTTATAGACACAATTAACTCGTCGAGTACCGTATTTATAGACACAATTAAAGAACAATAGGTCGCGGTCACCGGTGACCGCTTGGTGTTTGACAGTTTAATAGTAGTAAGTCATACACAGGTACTTTTGAAATGTAACAGATAAATACAAAACCCTTTTTTATATTTGATGGGCCGATTTTTGACCACTATCTCGCCTGGTAGTAAGCGATGATGCGGTCTACGATGGAGCACGTCGACACATAAGCAACCTATTCACTCGGGCCTTGAACACACCCAGGTTACTTGGCAAAGAATTCCACTCCTTAGCAGTACGCAGAAGGAAGCTTGATGCAAAGCGCTTCGTGCGTGTGGGTGGGACATCTACCATGAAGCGGTGACGCTTCACTTGTTTTTAACCACGTTAATATTTTTTTTTTGTCCACAGAATAGCAGATGACGACGAAATAGAACGCAATCTATCGCAAGTGGAAATACAGAGAAAGAACAACTGTATCCTACAGTGAACACCCTGTATACAATATACATGTCTAATGAAACACCTGTACATCGTAGTACACTTACTAATATATGGTTTTACATCAGTCGACTTGTGAGTATTAAACTCGTTTTGAGTTGCAGAAGTGTCTCAGGTTCGATTCTTGGGTCGGTTACTTTTGGGTTTTTCAAAATTCTCAGTTATGGTACTGTTTAAGTGTTTCAAAGAATATTAAGTTGAAAAAAATATGTTTTTTTTTCTCACAATCCTCTGATGAAAAATCATAAATGAAAAAATCGTAACACTTATTTATTATTTAATATTAAATTGAATGTAAATGTTTTTATTTTTATGCAACATTTTTCATCGCAGTATGCGTTTCGCGTCCTATTTAAAGAAATACTAGTAAAAAACCAGTGGTTCCCAACTAAGACAAAGAATGGTTTGCGAAAAAAAAAAAACTTAAGACTATCCTGTCCAATAAATGCCTCGATTAAAGCTCGAATTAAACGATTAAAGCGTAGGATTTTTAGATGTTTTTCTGTCATAACAAACTTCTCCTGACAATAACAAACACAACAAAAATAATCTGTCAAATCGGTCCAGCCATTCTCAAGTTATGGCGTGACAACGGGAAACGGGTTTCATTTTTATATATATAGATAAAAAGATCTTACTTTGAAAATAGTATTTTTAATAATCGTGGTGTCTAGCCCAATGAGAATGATATATAATTTACATTAACCTCTAGTATGACAGAGCGTAGATCTCGAAACACAATGCGTTTTGTATTGTGTCTCATTTCGACAGACCAGAGGTCTCTCCATTCAAGAACTCTTCTACAAACCCCCTTTTTTGCAGTCATTTAATAAATGTTAATATGCTAAAACCTGCTCCCAAGTGAACGGGTAACCGGGGCTCCGGCTCGACGTGCAGGAGAAGGAACGGGGTGGTTTTTAGTCAGTAAGAGTTTGACACTAAGGGCGGGAGCAGTCATTCGATGATTTTCCCCCCTTAAAACAAAAGTGTAATGAATACTCTGTTGGAAACCGCATCAAAATCACTTCAGCTGATTGCTAGATAATCATGGACAAACATACAGACAGGTCAGCTGTAAATCCCCTTTTTTAATGTCGGTTAAGAAGTGGTCTGGCCAGTAAAAGGTTGGGAACCCCTACTTTAGATACAAACTTTCAATGAATATACAGTAATATACGACTTTATAAAGAAAATGAGAAAAAATTGTAAAAGTTAATATTGATATAATTAAATAATTGCTGTTTTTATAATTCCAATTATATTTGATAATTTAATTATTATGAATAATTGTAATTAATTATTATTTCGACGTGCTTCATTGGCATAATACATAGTTGATGTTATTAAATTGGTGAGTTAGGTTATGTGCGCACTTGCGATTAGTCGGTGGCGATTGGTCGCAAAAACGTATTATTGTGTGAATGGCATTAGGTCGTATTCAAAATCATTATAATATGACTCCAAATAATACGGTATTTGCCAACTAGTCAAATTCAATATTTTTTTCGAACTGTAAAAAACGACAGTTTTCTATGAATTATTATGTTCGAGATTGTGTTTTGTGACGTCACGTTTTTTTAGCGTGAAACAACATACTCATTTCTTAAAAAATGCTGGAAAAATACTAAAATTAAGTTGGTTATAAAGTCAATGAATGAAAGTGTGAGTATTTTTTTAATATATTATTGTTTATACAATCGAAATAATTTATTTTTAATGAAGGAAAGTACCTATAGTAAGTGATTAGTATTAGTTTGACAAATGAAACATACACAATCTTGTACAAAATTTATAGAAAACGGTCGTTTAAGACAATTCGAAAAAAGTATTGATTTTGACTAGTAGGCAAGTACCCAATTGATGTACCTAATATGTATGATTTAATGCCATTGACAAAAATTATTATAATCGTTTTAATTTCTCTTCCACACCTATCTGCGATAAGTCGCCGTCGACATATCGCACGCGACTATTAAGATACGTTTTGGCCTCAGTCGTGGGACGGATAATACTCAAAATAATTGTTTCCTATATATTTTTATATTATGTACACAACTACACATCAAACTATACAAATCCAGTGTATCCAGAGCCCTTAGTACGAATTTATTTTACGTTAAAAGTATTCGTAACGAGTACGCGTTCAGCGCTCTGATTGGTTGCTTCAATTTGGCCGGCCAATCAGAGTGCCGAACGCGTACCCGTTTCGAACACTTTTAATGTAAAACAAACTGGTACTAAGGCCTCTGGTCCCGCTTCGTATGATCTTTCACAATCGTATAGTATAGTCGTAGAATAACTATCGCAATCGTAACGTAATAGTATCGAGCGCGTTCGGCGCTCTGATTGGCCGGCTCCAGTAAACCAACCAATCAGAGCGTCAATTTAAATATACTGGTTTTGCGTAGCTTATTATTGGAGTAAAAAAACCAGCTTATCATGAGCCCGCCTTGTATGACCTTTCAGGGCATTCGACGGTAAATTTGTACTGGTTTTAGCTTTATTTGTGGAGTTAAACAAAACCAGCTTATCATGACCCCGCCTTGTACAACCTTTTAGAACATTCGAAGATCATTTTATACTGGTTTTAATAACTTAATAATGAAGTTAAACAACACCAGTATATCTTAGTCTCGCGTCGTATGACCTTTCAGAACATTCGATGATCATTTTATACTGGATTTTCATAGCCTTATTCATGGAGTTTAACAAACCAGTATATCTTTGTCTCGCTTCATATGATCTTTCAGGACATTCGACGCTCATATTATATTGGTTTTTAATAGCTTAATAATGGAGTTAAAGTAAACCAGTTTATCATGGCCCCGCCTTGTATGACCTTTCAGGACATTCAACGCTCATTTTATACTGGTTTTTCATAGCCTTATTCATGGAGTTTAACTAAACCAGTATATCTTAGTCTCGGTTCGTACGATCTTTTAGAACATTCGAAGGTCATTTTATACTGGTTATGCATAGCTTGATGTGTGGTTCTGTGTACGAGTATTTTAGCATTTGACACTGTATAAATATTTTTGGTTCTAAACTAAAGGAAAGTGTCAGTTAACATACGTTGCGATTAGTCGTTGCTGTAAAGAAAGAACATCTTATTTAACAATGTTATTTTTATAGTAGGTACTTTCAAATTAATTATTCAAAGTTGCTATCTACGTAACCGTTATTGTCAATTTTCAAAATTAGATGTTTTACATAATTTTATTGACAGAGAAGTGTGTAAAATATAATTATGTATATCAGTGTAAAATCTTACTTTAACAAACTGTCGACTATAGTAGTTGCGACTTTAAATCGCATCGTGTGTCGAGGCTTGTGTGCGCGCGTTTAGAACCAACCCTTAGGTTAGTTTAACGAATATGGCTTAATTTTACTCTTGGTATAGGTTTACCAAAGAATATTTTTTTATTATCCCCACTAACCCCCTTCCCCCCCTTTTTTTAGATAGAATGGTGATATTTAAGTACAATTTTGCCATAGTCAATGGATTCTTGTAATACTATGGTTTAAAAGTTTATTTTATATTTTTTTTAAGTAGACATTTTTTTAAAACGATCAATTTTTTATTTAAATGTAAATAATAGCGTATTTTAGTTAAAGATATTTATTTTTACGCTACAAAATAAAATCTTGCCTTGAATGTTCAGTATTTGTTGAATCGGGAAGTGGATCTAAATTGTCTGAGGAACGGACGGACAATGCGACAAGTCGTCAACTTTATTATTACATGTTTTAGTCAAACAAGTCCAAGTCATTTATTATTTATTAAGTCGCTGTTTCACGTTCTTGCTTTTTCTTAAAAGTCGCTGCGACTTGCGACTTGTCGCACGTCTGTGTCCAACTTAATCGGCCGGTGCTAAATTTTACCACGTGATCAGACTTCACAATTTGTGCAATTTTTACTAAACGACGTACGTTTATCTTATTATTAAATAAATAATGTAAATATTTCACGCTGGCTACACTAAAGTTCTATTTGGATTAATAAATAGAAATGAAAATAACAATTAAAAATTAAATAAAAGTTAAATATTAAAAATAAAATAATTATTTGAATTTTATAAATTATTTTAATTTTATTAATATTGCGAAAGCAGGACAGTCGTTGTTTTCATTTTAATATTTTTTAAATCAATAATTTAATTAACATACAAAATTTCACATGATCTCATTTAACTATTTCACAAATTTAACCAAAAAAGAGAGTACTGAATATTTTCCGTCAACATACATTTCTACGACTCTCAAATAGAACTCTAGGGTTGCCAGCAATTTTTTAAACGTAAGTTATGCGATATTTTGCAAACTAAGGCTTAAAATAATAAAATGTATGTACCTACACAATACTATGTAGAAATTACAATTTGTGTGGATTCTGGATTTTTAGTGTGACGTCACTATTTAGGGAAAATTATTTGGTTTTATATGTTAGAGGATTTTATAAATGCAATAATATTTAAAACTTTGGGTTTGTTTTGCAATATGTGATTAATCAAATCACTTGAGATATCGTAACGAAAACGCCCCAAAATTTGTTCATACAAAGTAAATCATTTATTTGCAAGTAGTCTCTAAACAAATGGAAATAAGGTCTATAATGGAGTGAGCGGAGAGCGGTCTCTAGTAACTGCTTGAGTCTTGACCGGTAAGGTCAAAATTAACCTATCTCAAAGTCAAAGCATTTATTTCAATTAAACCATATTTTGGTACTTTTGAAACGTCAACAAATACGAAATAAATAATAGTCTGTCAGTCAGTCCGTCAGTGAAGCTAGGTGCTCACCCAAAAATGTAGATTCGAATGGAGAAGAACGAGCAAGAAACTCCATTCGTTACTCTTTCTCTACTCGTTACTATCTCAGTCCATAATATTTGATTCGATTTCTGTTTTTGACGAAAACTATACAACCAATGTCAAAAGTCGATCTCCATTCAAAACCATATTTTTGCTCATCAAATCGTGCAAATATAGCAAGAGATGTTTTTGTCCAATCACTAAAGCTGTCAGATATTGAACGTCCAATCGTGTGACAGCTAATTCGCTATTGGATGAAAAACGTAAATTGCAGCACACTAATTGGTAAGCAAAAATACAGCCCCTATTGAGATCAGTTAATCAAACTGTGTTTTTTAATTTCGTATTACTGAAATGATAGTAGTAAAGATTGTGTTTTTTTAAAAAAATGTTAAATTCAACTATTGTTTTTATCGTTCATGCAACAATGTATGAACCAATAGAGTAGGTTTTTAATATATATTGAATATAAAATAAGTTCATTGTAATAAAAATGTTCTCTGACATATAAACCCAAGTTCTACGATAGAAAACTCAATGTCACATTATACCGTGGTAGATTTTTGTGTATTTATATATTGTACGCGGGCAACACACATCTCATACATAATAATCACGTAATTATAATAATGAATTATCAATAATATTTCATAAAAAAGTAAAATATAAAAAAACTACGCCTTAATAAAATAGATGTTACAGATATTTTTTTTCGATACGTAAATATAAATGACATCAAGATTTTTTAATCTGGCAATACTAACTGCGAACTGTCAAAACACTGACAGATAGTTTTTTTGTTGTATAAACACGAGGCTTTAATTTATCTTTTAAACGACTGATTATTGTGATTTTCTTACCAAATATATCTAGATAAAAGGTCAATGTCTGTCTGTATGTGTTGTGTGTGCCTCGGATATACCATAGACTAGATGCGACACGGTAGTATGTGCAATGTTTGTAAGCCACGCCATAATCGTCTGTACTCGGTAACAACGCTACTATTTATAAATATGGACCGTAATGAAATAAAGTGATATTGTAAAATGTATTTGGGTTTTATTTCACAATAGTTTCCCACCTTTTCAGCTGTTTAACACGTTTGTTTTAAGTCCCTTAATCGATATGAATCGAACAGCAACGCACGCAATATTTTTATAATTTATTCATTACCACCGTACTACCAGACGAACGACAGGGCCACCCTTATATGATGGATATTCCACCCATTAGCACGAAGCGTTTTGCGTCAAGCTTCCTTGTGCGAACAGCTAAGGAATGGAATTACTTGCCGGAATCTGTTTCCCAACAAATACAGCTTGGGTGTCTTCAAGTCCCAAAAGAACAGGTTGCTCATAGGTAGGCGTGCTCCATCGTCGGCCACATCATCGCTTACCCCCAGACGAGATGGCCAAACATCAACCTTTTTTTTTGGTGACGGGGGAAACCTTCAAAAGGCGCCTAACTTCTTGGGAAGAAAGACTAGGGAGTGTGGGATTCGTACTTCACTAAAACCACCTAGGCACCTAGAGTCTCCACTCTATGCACCCGTGGCCCCAAAGGTCTGCCTGCAATTTATGCAAGCGGGATTGTGGCGTATTAAGCGTCAAGGCATTTGAAAGAAAGAAAGAAAAATAATTTATTCGCCACCAGACGTGGACCACCGAAAATTTACACACAAAATAAACATTGAAAAACAAAAAAAAATAAAAAGGAAAACAATATAAAAATATAAAATAACAAAAAAAAACAACAACAAAGGCAAAAAAGAACATTATAAAAAAAGCAAAATAAAAGAAACAGGGTGGCAGCATGTCCACGACGAAAGGGCTCGCCAACTCAGTGTATGCTGGGCACAGTAAGTACCCAACACTGGTTTTCAATTGGCATTTGCCTTGTCTCGACGCCTTCTACGAGCAGGATCGGCCCTCTCGCGATCCCGCCTCCACCCCCTGAGCGGGACATTACAGTCTCACAAAAGGAGGCCACTTTCCTCTAGTTTTCTGTTTCTGCCAGCATAGCCTTAACTTCTGCTGGCAGAGACAGGTCTCGTCCGATCCTGGCAACCAGGACCCGCCGCTCAGAGGCCCATGCTGAGCACTCCTCGAGCGTGTGCTGTGCGGAATCCAGGTCACCTCGGCAGTGGTGAAAATTTGCCGTGGCCTCTCGCCCAATCCTGTTCAGGTACTCACCGAAGCACCTTTACCGTTTAGCACCTGAGTGAGCCTGTAGGCGACGCGTTTTTCTCTTTTCGGCCAGGCTTCGAAGTGCGGCAGAATGGCTTCGACAACGCGCCTACGTGAGAGCTTCGGCTGTTCTAGCCGCTCACTCCACCGTTCGAGCGCGTGTCGCCTTTCTTGCCGCATCAGCCTAACGAACGCCACTTCTGGCACCCTACCGCCATTTCGGCGGACAGTACGGATTTGATCTTGGATCTTTACATCCATACCCGCTAGAATATCCAATGGCGAAAAGCGAGCCAGGAGAGTTGCTGCCTCAAAAGACACTCGATATTCTCGTGCGAGACACATGGCCATTTCCCGAAAAATTTTTGTTTTGCAGCGTCGGACGCTTGACAGTTGAGCTGACCCAACAGGCGCCCCGTAAAGGACCATCGATCGCACGACACCCGCGTAGAGGCGGCGAACTTCTTCTTGAGGTCCCGCAATGTTGGGCAGCAGTCTATGCAAAGCACCCACTGCCTTCTCAACTCGAGGAACCAGGCGCTCGAAATGTTCTTCAAAGCCCCACCGACCATCAAAGGTTACGCCAAACATCGACCTATCAAGAATAAAAAAAATTAAGGTCTTAACTATAACTAACGAAAATTTTACTACCTTGTTACACGCCAATCCATACTTTGTTGATTGAGGAATAAGGTAGAATAAGCTTGGCAGAATTATGCCCAAAAGAAAAAACTTAATACGACTATTGAAATTGCCGTTCTGCAGTAAGTACCTACTTACTGGCCATTTCAAATCAAAATAATTTTTGTTTGGTTAAGAAATCTAATTTCAAATTAATTTTATTTTAAAAACATGGAACTTATTTCCAAAAGTACCTAATCATTTGTTTATTGATTAGTGTTACATTTTCACCGAATTTCAATATTTTTCATCATGGATAGGTTAAAAATTCGAGTAGGTAATAATGGAATATGAGTAGAGAGGTACCTACCGTCGTGGCAGCAACGCGACACAAGCAGCACGCAACATCAATGACGTTTACGGAGCTAACACTACAAACCAACGTACCATCTGATTGGTTTGCTCGCTTCCGTTCTAGAAACGACCTTAAAAATGAACCTCGCGGTCGTCCGAAGACTTTGGTCGAGAATGACGAATTAAAGGCGATTGTGGAAGCTATCGTGGACGCAATCTACGGCTGAATTTGCTGCATCTTTCGACGTTAGCGTCAAAACAATATTGATCTATTTGCGTCAAATTGGCAAGGTAAAAAACTTGACAAATGGGTGCCCCACGAACTCAATGATCGCCAGCGCGAAGTACGTGTCGAGACGTGTCTGGCACTGGTGAATAGACACACAAATGAAGGAATTTTGAACCGTATTCTTACTTGTTATAAACAATTGATTCTGTTTGATAACGGCATACCCATAGAAAAGTGATGGTCACTGTTTGGTGGTCTAGCGCTGAAGTGATTTTTCACTGTTTGACAATAGCTCGTCTCTGCTGCTCCTAGACGATAATGCGTAACCTCATACTGCAGGTTGCAAGACGGACTCCAAGTTGCAAGAACTCCACGGAAGGGCCCCAAATGATGTCAATACGGAGTCGCGGAGAACTTAACGAGTTATCGGGGCTCAGGCTCGATGTGCAGGAGTAGTAACGGGGTGATTTTTTGTCTCTAAGAGCCTGCCACACCCTCCCGCCTCACCTCAATGGGAGAAGTCATTCAAGGATTTTTTTCACCTTAAAAAAGGGACCCCATTCGTCTAGTGAAACCTCGGAGCATGGCAGTCCGCAAAGATTACGCCGTTCGGTTCAGATTCCGAAATGGATCTCCGAAATCGATCTCTAATATTCCGTAGACCAGCATAATGCTGGTGACTTGGCGAACACTAATAGGGAATCTCCGGGAGGAGTTTTAAACTTTACTACTCCGCATCGATTGAATTCCCTCTCGTCTAGAGACACAAATCCTGCAGTTGCGTTATAAGCAGCCATAATTCGGGTTGTAGAGGTTCCTCTTTACCCGCGATGAGATGTTGGCGTATATGACTGCTTCTGCTGCTTCGAGTCTATCGTTCAATATTACCTCATTACCCTGAAGGTAAGTCCACAGGATGGATTCGCAATTGGGTTCAAATTTCAGTTCAATTCAATTCAAATTCTCTACTCGGGCAAGCGGCTTGGAGATCGCAATAAGGTTAAGGGGGCTTACTCTTGAATCCAATTCCGATCGATCGACATTGGTTTGGTATAGTGAAATTTCGTACTCTTGAGTTGCAATACTAGCGCCCATTGCATTTGTATTGCGTGGATATTTAATGAACTAAATGGTATTGAGTTTGGCTATAAATTCCGTATTCTAAATGCTACTTTGACAGCTACGATGGGGCTACGATAGTTTTGACATTGGATAATTATTGAGATTTTATTGGTTTAATTTAAGCACATTGAACTTTGGAAACACTGCTAAAAAGCATTTTTCTATCTTTTAGGTTAGGAAAAAAGAAACGAGAATTGAAATTAAAATCGTTTTTATTGATTACTCGTTGTACAAGCAACTATAATAATTAATAAACATTGTATAATCAACTTATAACAATTAATCATTTGTTAATAACAAATAAATTGTACTGGAAGAACGTTTCCATAAATATCTTACTCCTTATTTTATAATAATCACTTCGGTAGCTTAACTTTACAACCAATATTACATTTTTCACTTGTAAGCGTTAAAAAATAATAGAAACAGATTTTATTAAAATTATAACAAAAATTGTGGCATTTATAAGGCATTTCGCTCACTTGGAAAATTGTTAAATCCCATTAGATGTTCAAATTATCGAATCGCTGACAGGTTAGCCAAAATGTCGTTTATTTTTTTATGTGTTTTGTGATTTTTCTTTGTCTATTTCATTAAAATAACTATGTTAACCAGTAGCAGACAATCACCGCGTCGTAGGTCGCGGAATGCTGCTTATGCCTCTAGTATGGCTTGAAACTAGTCGAGTTCCTCGTCAATCAGTTACGTGAGTAAGCCGACAACAATTAAGCATGTTAACTTAACAATCAACTTAAATAGAGTTTCTATTGTTGACGAATTTGTTCCATTATTTCTACAACGCTTACGTACATACAGGTAGAACCAATGTCTGCTTTACCGAAAATCACAACTCTATAATGGCCATGCCAATTTACAAAAACCTGGAAGTCAAATTATAATACTTTACCAATACTTTCACGTTACACACGTTTAGGCGGCAAACGGCATAGAAATTAATTCCATAATTTTAGGTTATATAAGAATTCTGTTAGTTGGGAGATTTTTGTTGGAATTAATTCAATAGTAGGATGTAAACACCTTTTACAAATAGGGTAATTACCAATATTTATTTAAAATCAAAATAAAATACCTTGCCTTGCCATTCCCGCCTAAAACTCTAACCTCAAATTTCAAAAATAACGGTCCATTTAAAAATAACCTTTATTTCAAAGCGTTAATATTTGGAAAAATGTCAAAAAACTACATTTCCTTCGCATTATTAGCGTTATGTTGCTAAAAATGTTGTTAATTGTGAATTGCTACGTTAGAAATATCAGTTTGGTCATATACAAAAGTTTCTTAGGTCTTATACTTTAGATGCAGTTCCATGATTTAGAGGAAATAATTATATTCTTAACGCATAAGGTATATTAAAAACAATATGTCTATCTGAACTCGTATGTTTGGTAATGCGTGTGGTAAAGTTTACAGTTACAACAAATAATAAAATTTAATCGTCCAAAAACTTTGCTTTTTTCATGTAGATAATGGAAAAATTAGCATGAAATGCATTTATTTTATGTAAAAATTAGCTCGGAATTAAGATTCCGAGCTAATTTTAAAGAGGAGATATATCTTTCTACAATATCGCCTCAAAATCATGGTACTGCAGAATTTAAGTGTATAATATTAATAATACTATTTATAGAAAGCACTTGGGGCCCATAATAATATACATTAACGTTAAATCTATGAGTAAAAGTTAAAAAGTGACCTCAAGGTCGGAAAACTTCGTTTGGAAGTAGAGTTATTTCGGAAAAACCGTTAGATTTACGGTTAAAAATCTGACCCGCAGATAATTTTAAATGTACATACGATTACAAATCAAGTTATACACAACCAGTTCATCTTGACCTCGCTTTGTATGATCACTCCGCATATTCCACGGTCAGTTTATACTGGTATGTTTAGCTTGATGTGTTGTCGTATGTACTCATACATTATGTAGTACACAAGTTCTTTCGCTTTTTTAAAACACTTTTTGCACAAAATTTCCATTTCGCATTTAAACTACGTATTTCAAGTTTCAAAGATAAATTCTAGATTTATAATTCCAAAATTACGATTTAACTACGCTAATTTTATTTACAATAATTTTATTTAGAATGTATTTTTTGCATTATATTGGCAGTACTGACACTTGCACAGATAAAATATATAATTTATTTTAGAACACTGTCGTGTATTTTACAATTTATGTGTTATAATAATAATTATTGGTAGTATTTACAGGTTTAACTGTAAAAAAAGTTAGAATTCAATTCATATGAATAGTAACACCAGAAATGAAGTGGTCTTTTTTAATATTCTAAGAAAAATATTGGTCACAGCGTTTGCTAATTTACGAAGAATTAGTCAAAAAGGATTTTACATCATTTCTTAGTCATATCGTCAAAGACATTATGTTTAAAAATTTGTAACTTACTCAATGAGTAATTAGATAATTTAAGTCATATGTTACGCTCTCGTGTGATTGTTGGTTGTCACAGGGGGCGCTGCTTCTGCCTCTGCAGCTTCCGCCTCCCTTTTTAGCTTGCGGTATTTACCTGAAAATATAAAAAACAATGAAAAAAAGAAATAATTGACATAAGTTTTTAAACACATGGTCCCACGCTGGGCGCCAATAGTGTTTTGTCTGGTCCCACGTTGGGTGCCAGTTTTATTTTAATTCAAATTTAGTCTTCAGGCTATTTACACAATCTAAAAAAAGTGCATAATGGCAATCCAAGTTTTAGGCATAGGCGTCCTAAAGTTCCATAGTTCATTGGCACACTTTATGAGCACAAACTAAAAATAAATAAAACCATAGTCTCTAGTAAAAGTATTGCCACACTCACGTGAAGTCTTGACCATGATGACTCCCCACCAGATGGACCAGCCCCAGCCGACGAGACAGAACAGCACCGTGAACAGCTGGCCACAACCTACCAGCAAATTGATCACGAACGAACCTGAAATCATCAGGAATGGGATTTTTAATTCTGTAAAAAAGTTCCATATATATCACAAATATACAGTTGAATTGATTGCATGGTTGGCGCGGCGGCTGGGGGGTATCGCGGGTTCGATTCCCGCACGACTCTTTGTGTGATTCACAAATTGATGTTTCGGGTCTGGGTGTCATGTGTATGTGAACTTGTATGTTTGTAAACGCTCCCACGACACAGGCGAAAATCATAGTGTGGGGCAACGGTTTTTTTTTAATACACTCTGGGTAAATCTGATCCTTTTAACTGCAATCTCCAAACCCATTGCCAAGCGTGAAGATTAAGACAAACCACTTCTTAGTTGAGGCCTATAAGCCAGCAGTGAATTCTCACAAACAGTAAGATGCTGAGTATGAAATCAATATATTCGACTTACCTATCCTATGTTTAGCTCCGTCGTGGACTCCAAACCTTGGTATGCCGAAGCACAGGCAGAATAGGCCGCTCAATATACTTCCTGCAGATGTAAAAAGATAAGTTTTAGTGTAAGATTCAACCAAAACGGCAAAAACCTGAACAATCCATTTTGTTGGGGATGAGTAATCTATCGGTGTGGAGGACTACAAGGGAGCTTCTGTTTAGTAGTAGATGTCATCCGGCTAAAAATAAAAGATTGATGACTGTTGATGAGATGAGGTACATACCTCTTTCGCTGGTATCTGTAGGTATCGTAATTGGCGTTCCATAGTCTCTGCCTACCCCCATGGGAAACAAGCGTGAATTATAGGCGTATGTATGTATAATAATTATAACAAAACTATATCCTTTAGAGTAAAGAAAGCGTGGATCTCACTCAGGGCAACACACTTCATCAAAACATTAAAAATTTAAAAGTCAGCTAAACAATTACACACATGTAAAGATATGAATAGAATAATGTCATTAGACACACTTTAAACAAGATACAAATGTATCAAATATCTAGTAATCCATTATCTTGACCATCCCAATTTTATAAAAAGAATAAACATCTCACCGAGTCCAGGTATAACGATGTTGCAGAAGAGACAGAAGTATGCAAGCACTATGGGCAGCACAGGAATGGCGCCGCGCATCACGCTTGTATGCTCCACCAGGGACGTGTCCAGCTTCGTACGAGTGTCCTGGTAATGTCAACCATATTTATGTGTGAATAGAGATTATAATTCATTACGTTTGTCATTGAATTGTTATTTTACAGAGAGCACAATACAATTTTAAAGATTGATGAAAACTGTTGATGGCGTCATTGGCCGAGTGGTCAAGTGCGACTGCCGGGCAAGGGGTCTCAGCTTCGATTCCCGGTTCGGGCAAAGTACTACCGGGTAAAAAATTCTCAGTAGTAGCACGGAGTCTGGAATTGTGGCCGGTATATGGCAATAGGCTCACCCCCTATTACATGGGACTAATAACATAAATAGTGAAAAGTGGGTGTTACATTGTACAGTGGCATTAATTGCCGTAATGTGTACTTTTGCCTACACTTTCGGGGTTAAAGGCGTAATTTTATCTTATGTATGAAAACGGTTATTTCGGAATAAAGAAGACATATAAACTTATGAGAAATAGTTCTGATAGTTCCTGAAATAAGCTATAGGTACTGAAATTGTAATTATTCATTGAAATCATTTGATTTGACGTCTCAATGTCTTCGATGTTTCTCCATTAGTATGTTACAGTTATGAAACGCCTTGGAATACTATTTTTTCAACAAGTAAAAGTAATTTTATCAGCGTTTGCCTTTTGAGTTACATTGATCAAATATAAGATTAAAAAGTTAAATGCAAAGTGGGTGTCTGTATACCTAAATATGGAAGCTAACCTCTAAAACAAAATTTAGGCAATGTCTCAGCTCAGACAGTTAGGTTTAGAATTAAATATATTCACATGGAAATGGTTAAAATGTCGTGTGGTGACCTCGGCTGGTTACAAGTTAGATTTAACGTGTGTTAACAAACTCGTCGGGTTTGTGACATGGCACATGACGACACTGCTCGCTATAACCGCTGACCGTATTATTTCAATGCCGTATTTTAATGTATTGGTAATGCCATTTTAATATGACTGTGTGAAATAATGAAATTGAATTCTTCAGTAGGTACTTGTTATATGTACCCACATATAACAAGTGATTACATATAACAACCTGATTGATCTTGATAGTATTTTTTTAAATAAATTATGTTCGAACAATCGTTGGCAATTTGTTTTGTTTAAAGATGCACTGCACTCAAAGATATATTGCGCATTTATACCTCTAATATATAGGTACCTAACCAATTTAGGTAACAACAACGTACAATAATCAAGATATAGCAAAGCCAAAGTCAAAATCATTTATTTCATTTAGACCAGGAAGGCACTTTTGAATCAGCTAAGCCTGCACTGAGCAGTTCCCATACTACTGTATAAAGAACCCGATCTCCTTATAATGGGAACTCCCAAAATAGCTAACAACAATGTGAATAACTACTTCTTATTTAGGACACCATGACCAAAACTAAATTCCTACCTCAATGTCTTCTTCAATTTCCACATCTTTCTTCATGAAATCCTTAGTAATGAGTATTCTGGAAGCTTTCCGTGATGGTATGGGAGACGGATTAGGGGTTCCACGAGGCGACACTTGTATGGAAGGCCGTGGTGAAGGTACAGGGGTCACCCTAAGCTTGTTATTGCCTTGCATTGTGATTGGGTAGTTCGGGTTTCGAGAGTATATCTGACGCGGTAGGCTGTAGAGATAGTTCTGAAGTCGCGGCGTTAAGTACAGATTAGGCATCTGTCTTAAGCTACTGGTTTTCGCGTTCACCCTTTTCACGTGTCTTTTTCTTCTATACATTGAAACTTGATTTGTTTACACACATTGTCACTAATAAATTAATTGTTTTTGTTTTGTTTTTGGATATTTGAAATGTTAGTAATCAATCGGTTACGCAAACGTATGCGTTACAGTTAACAGTCGAATAGACACTGCCATTAAAATACGCTAATCATACATTTAATATTGCCATCGATTATTCGTTCCTATTGTTAGACAACCGACCTTGTTTACACTAACCCATTTCATATAAATAGTACGCGTTTACTTATTTATAATTATTTATGGAATAGATTAAAATCGCGCCTAAGAAAAGGTTTACACGCGAAGAAATTAAATAATGTGATATATAAGTATAAACATATTATTGTTGTAACTGTTTAGCACGCAATTAATATGTAATTTTTATTTATACATATTAACGAAGGACATTATGTTTGTTAGTAATAGTAGACTTCAAATTTATGACATGGTGCCCCATGTTGGGCGGCAGTACCGCGTAGTTGGCGCCCAACGTGGGACCTTCATCCTGTTGTTAGTAATGTCGAAAATGAGTCATAATATATTGTATTCGAGTACATGTCACACTGAAGTCATGCAACATCCTTTCCTATTCAAATTACTTGGCGATTTCCATGAAACGTATACAGTTATTATGTACAAACAAAGTTTTAATAACTGACCAGCGTTGGTTTGAACCTTGAGTCATATTTCTCGAGACACGCGTGGCGTTGCGTGCCGCCATGATTACCGACCACCATAAAATATGTTTTGGCGACTTGTTGGATGGTGTGTGGGTCAAAATAGGGGTGGTTTTGGGTCATTTGTTTGGCCTATTTTGATGACTCTTAAGAAAAAACTCTGCGGTTTGATATTTATGTTACATTATTGTTATAAGTCTTAAAATGTGAAACTGATTGATTCAGGTAACTTCTTCAACGAATTGTACATACTTTGGATCGGCTGATTGGATTTTTGGTTTTCAAAAATGTATTTAAATGTCCTGGCTTTAAGTTTGTAACTCACCTCAGGCGGTAACGTAGGCGACATGCTCTTGTTCTTGGAGAACATGCTCGTGCGTCGACTGGAGGACTGCTCGGAGTGTCGCCGACACATGCCACGCAACCACGTACACAAGCGGTTATTACAGCAACTGTTACAGAAACATAAGATGTTATTGTCTCGCATCACTAGTGTGGAATCGTTACATTTATTCATTGTTCGAGATCTGAGATGGGCTTTTTCAAAAGACCATTACGATTTAGTAATGTTTAGTGTGGCAAATGGATGTATGTCCACCTGGAAATGTGATCGACTTATCCACTGATTGTTATTCTGCGTCTTTGAGTACAATTTAAACTTTATTGTCAATGATTAACCTTTTTTACTGTACTATCGTAGTTCTAAATAGGTCAAGCAACATGCAAAATTGATTTAAGTTTAAGTCGGTACTCGCGAACCGAATGACGTTGCATTCGATATCCGACATTGTAATAATTTCGTCGACCCAGTTTGTGAAATGTAAGCTAACGTTATTAGTATCGAGGGCATTAGATGCATAGCGACAATATTGGAGTAGATGTCAGTAACCGTTCCATTAGTCCAAAAGTCGCAGATCAGTTAGGTAGGATCCTATGTAGGTTTGATCCGTGACTTTTTCCTAAATAAGAATTCTAATTTCCAACAAATATTCATATTATCTTTTGTCATGAGTGCATTTTACATAATACGTCAGGACATTCAGATTTAGACCAAGAACTTCTAAATATTTATTTATTTAGACAGAAAACTAATCCTCGTGTTAGCTAACTACCCGTTATCAGTAACCCAACCACAGAACAGTTATAGTCAGTCAATCAATTATTAAACTGTTCTAAGCAATTTATGCATAAACCTAAACGACATTTAATTTCGCCCAATAGGGCTGACGTCGATATGAAGCCACGGAGGACTTAACGGGTTGCCAGGGCTCCAGCTCGAAGGACAGTAGTAGGAACGGGGTGATTTTTAGTCATTTAGTCTGACGCTCCCTCCCGCCACGCCCAGGCGGGAGAAGATATTCTATGATTTTCCCTCCCAAAAAAAATCTTATTATCTTACCTAGTAGGAGGTCTATCACTGAGTATACTGTCTCTCCTCTCAATTTGTCTCTTCTTTCTGCCACAGCAGCCTGTCTCCTCAGGCGCGGGCGACATGGACTCCGCAACATTGCGCGGCATGGATCCAGTGTCTGCTACACGTCGCCGTCGCCCGCAACAACCACAGAACACGTCGCGTAACGTGCGCTTTGGTTTCGTTTCGTTTTCGTATTCTATCGAGGCCTGTGTGGAGAAAATGATGATAAATTATAATGGGAGTAGTTTTGATTGTGGTAATTGGTACTTGTGTAGTTACATTCATTGAATTGTAAAACACCAATTGGATTTTTTTTTTTTTTTTTTAAAAAAAAACGTTGCCCCACACTAGGATTTTCTCCTGTGTCGTGGGTGCGTTTACAAACATACAAGTTCACATACACATGACACCCAGACCCGGAACAACAATTTGTGGAGCACACAAAGAATTGTTCCGTGCGGGAATCGAACCCGCGACACGTTGCGTGGCAGCCGGTTGCCCAGCCACCGCACCAACCGTGTTGTCATTTTCTTTCTTTCTTTATATAATATTTCTTTTTCTTTCTTTCTTTATATTATTGGATTTCTTTATATAAAATCTTTTACTGAGACTTGGTAAACTTCATATCTTCATAAATATAATTATTTGTTTGAATTTTGAGTTATAACATGGAGTTGAGCATAATAACATTTTATGCTTACTATGGGACAGATGGGTTGTATCATAATTGACATTTAGTTATTATCTTTTGGTAAAGTCTCTAAAAAATAAGTTTTATTAATACTTTAGGCAAAAATACTCACTTTACCAGCAGCCCTTTCCAAATCCCTAACTTCTTGCTCAGCCTTTTCTTCATCAACCTGCTTCTTACAACAATTCAGTTTACTCATCATGCCTTTCTTTTCTTCTTTCATTTCTTCTTTCTGTCTCTCTTTATCTTTATCTCCGTCTTCTTCAGATTCTTCTCCTTTAGTGCAACAAGCACAGCATTTAGTCTTGCATTTTTTCATTAGCCTTTGACAGAAGTTTGGTTCTTTTGGTTTGTCTTCTGCTGCGTCCACTGGTTCAGAAGTGTCTCGTTGTTCTGGTGGTGGGGTCTCTTTGGCTTCTTTCTTGGTCCTCGCTGGAGGCTTTGGGGTTGTGCTTGTGCTTTGTGGGAACCTGGGGAACAGTTAAATTCTTTTATAGAAGTGAAAAAATTAGTACAGTCATTATTTATTAGTTTGAGTTTGAGATAGTAGTAGATAAGTGGTCCTTATCAGTTTAACAGTTTTTGTGGCTGAATGATTATGTTTCGAAAGTTTTGTAGAATAAATTTATCGCCTATATTAATACCGGTTTTCATAACAGCTATAGAATCCATGGATTCAGGACCGATACTTAAATAAAACAGCACCTAATCGAACTTGATTTCACAAAGCTTCACTGTTTTCACATCTAGCACAATTTGTTCCATATTCAAGACACGTCTTATAAGCACGCCTTGTTACAGTGAATAAAGATTTTCTTTTTCTTTTCGCTACATACAAAAATGCACTTTCAGTTCAAAAGCAATGGTAGTTACAAGAAAACTTTGGCAAAGTATTCTACTTTGTCTTTGCATTCTAGACCTTGACATTAAACAGTTTCTTTAAAAGACAAATGAGTTTATAGTTTCAGGTTTCAGAGTCCATTATCTCGACTGAAACTTGTTTGTATAACTTCTACTATTAATTTGTAATTTACAGAGGATATTTCAGTTGGGTCTTTGTTTAAATGAACACTGTTTAAAGCATAGCTTTATAAATGTCCCGTAGATAGTTCAAGTTTGTTTTGAGTACCGTGAATGACATGTCTTTAAATAATGAAATCGGGTTAAAAAGTATAAACGTAATAGTAATGTCGATGTTTCAGTAGGTTCAGTATCAGTTTTCGGTTCTTAAGTACAAATAATCTTATTACATCATAGCTTTTTAAATAGTGATAAAATCATAGTGAACAATATTTTAATAATGGTTATCAATCCAACTGCCGATCAAATTGGACAGGAGAACACAGTATCAACAAACGAGTTAATTAACAGACTGTTCAATATAATAACTTTATCACTATTTGAAGCTAACATTCAACTACTTTTTACAAAATTCTATCTCTTAAAATACTTATAATTTCTAAATCACCCGTGCGTAGCCCTAGCCACGACAACATGTTACTAGTGGCTACTTTGGCTTCAAACTAAAGTTGTCACTTTCTTACACAAAGCGACTAGTGCTGAATAAGTTGTCAATTACTTATTCTTTATGTTTATGTTGTTTTGATTCAAATCGTCCTGTTACCTGTGCAGCATTGGTAGCCCTGGTATAAGAGGGAGCCTAGAATTTTGGAAAGATTTCGATTTTAGTTGGTAATCGTTAAATTAGGTGGTAATCTAGTTACTTACTAAAGAAAAAGAAAAAGATTGAAAAGAAATTGTTGTGATTTGAAAAGTAAACAATAGAAGGTCAGAAAGAGAAGAAGGAAATAGGGATAGGTTTCATTAAAATTAAATAATTGTGGTGAAAGGGTAGAGATAGAGAGTGGGTCGTGAATGACAAGTGAGCCAAAAAATACTATTTTTTGGAAACTTAATATTGTGGTAAGTAATGCACGAGAAAAGAGATGATTTTTGGAAGTATAACACCTTTTAATTCTTCTAAAACTTAATTGTTCTAATTATGCGTCACTAAACACTGACCCACCAAAGTGAATCCAAGTCTAGCAGATAATACAATAAAAATACAATGAGAATAATAATTGTAATACAGTTCGCACTGAACTATAAATTAATCTATTGATTCTTAAGAGCATTTCAAGGGCTGGGTGAATACATTCATCGTATTATTAATATTAATTATAATAATTACTATTATAACCCTTTCTGCCTCCATTAGATTACAAATTATATTTTTACAACTCTGTTATTACGGTTTTGTCCACCGGAAGTGCGGGCCTTGTTTCACGTGCCTATTTCCGGTGGCCAATGACGCGTAAATATCGCCATGTGCCTACTTGACATGACTGTAAAGTTACTTGGAAATTGATTGTGATAAATAAATCCAGAATTTTATAATTTCATCTAACTAATGAACAAATATCTCAGACCTTAGTCAGCACCTATTTAAAGTAACCTAAAACAAAGCTAGGTAATAAATTAGGGTCATATAATGATTGGCTAAAATCAAATGAATGGAAATCTTCACCTGTTTTCATCCCCATATCTCTTCGGCAACAATTCATTAGGCAAAATATACACCGTCCTATTATGTATCATAATTAATTGAAACAACCACGAATGAAAATCACACAATTCTACAATTTGGAAGCACTACAAACACGTTTCATGATTTTTAAACGAAAACGATTCAACACCGCCATTTGCAATTTGAAGAATTCGCGCCAAAAACTGACAAGCACTGACAGGTTATTGTTTTAAGGCAAAGGTAACAAGATTTACAGCCACATCTTTATATTGTTTATGATCTTTCGCGCCATAGTCGTTAGAGCGGGCGTGGCGTTCAACGCTCGAGGGCGAACTAGGGAGTTGAACCATTTCTTAAGGGCTGGCTGGTTTAGTATCGAATGCCAAGAATTACGTGTCGGTCGTAGCGTGTACAGACGTAATGAGCCTTGGACAGAAAGAATGTAAGAAAGTGGACCTTTGTGTACACTTATAGGTTCTGTATGTGACAGATTTATTTACGTTTTGAGGTTAGGTTTATTTTATTGTACTAGATTGCCTGTAACTTATTATGAGACTCTTTTTTGTTGAATGTCCTGAAGTAAAATCATAAAGGAAATATTCAAAATGCTATCAAAGTACACGCTGAATCTTATTTAAAAATGTTTTAGTAGGTAAAACTAAGCCCACATCAAACCTAGAAATCAAATCTATACTTCAAGCCAAATTCACATTTCAAAATCACCCTAAAAATTATACAGACATTTTTCTAATACACTGCATTCAAACGTCATTGCATGCAAAATCCAAGATGGCTGCCACACTACAGTCGACACTGCTCAAATAGAATGAAGATTTGTATCAAACAAATACGATTTCTTTTGTTTTAATAGTAAAATTATGACTCAATTTATTTCTATTTTACCTAACGATGTTAGTTTTTGTGGTGGAGAGGTCATTGAACTCGGCTGCAGATAGATATCGAAGTGTTACGGTTACGTTTGCATTAGGTGGTGTTTGCTCGCTTTTAGGAACTACTTTTTATTTATTTATTTAATTATTTAAGTTTTATACAATTGCATAAGGAAGACTTAATGCTAACAGCATTCTCTGCCAGTCATCCTTTGGGTAGTGCAGAAATGTATGTGGTAGGTGGTAAGCTGCAAAACTGTTATGAGAAATAGTGGTAATTATCCAAATTAATAAAAAGGTATCAAAAGCATACATAAAATACGTAAATATAATCGTATAGATATATATAATTATATATAATATAAATATCATTATACATATAAATATATTTGTGACTCGTATATGAATTTGTCCTATGTTACAACAAGATGAAAAATTATTTAGTACATAGAATTTTCATATTCTTAAGTTTGATATTTTTGAAGTGAATATTAGCCCTAATATTTAGTTTAATACAACGTACCGTATTCATAGTTCCACGTTTCGTGTTACTACTTAATTACTTTTACAAGTTAGTTAAATTAATACTTAAATCGTTTTTAAAAGTCATTCTTATATTATTTTGGAGTTACTGTTATTATTAAAATAAGAATTAATAAGGAGCGCTTTTTTGTCTATGTCTCCAAGTATAATAAATACATATTCAGTAATGATTAAAAAACTAATTTACATGAAATTAAAGTTCCCACGAAAATGCCAAAAGAGTCCGTTGCCCACTGTGACTCAAGCAATAGTCCAGTCTGCCGTGTTCGAGTGCTTCGAGCCGACAGTGACGTCACTTCTTGACCGGCGGTGACGAAATGACTGACTCATAGTTTTAATATCAAACTGATAATAATAAAGCTTAACAAAGAGTCAACAAAATAAACCGATTTTTATTTGTTTATCATGTGGGAGAGCCATGCTTCGGCACGAACGGTCCGGCTCGACCGGAGTGATACCACGGCCTCACAGAAAACCAACGTGAAACAACGCAAGCGTTGTGTTTCGTCCTGTGAGTGTTATTACCGAAAGCCAAATTACCCCCCTCCCCAGTCTCCCCAATCTCCGAATCTCCAACAACCCTCAAATTCGTAATCCCCAAAAGGTCGGAAACGCACTTGCAACGCCTCTGGTGTTTTGGGAGTCCATGGGTGACGCCAATTGCTCACCATCAGGTGATCCATCAAGTCGTTTGCTGGCTTATCCCATAAAAAATGTAAATTGTCTGGAAAGCTTTCCGGCAGTTTTAAATTGGCAATCTTCTAGATTTTGATGTACTCTTTGTGATTTTCATTTTAAAAAGGCGACCAAAAAAATGTTTTTTTTCCAATATTTCTTTTCCCGGAGTACTTGAACTATCTAAGACATATTTCCTACATGCTGACGTTAATTACACCCATCAGACATCAAGATACATACATAAGTACCTAACTATTGTTAGACGACGAAAATCAACTAAATGAACGTCACTAGTTTAATCTATGTTATCGACAGCACTAGCTGTCATATTGACGATGTCATCTGTCAAATGGGACGGTTTAGAAAAGTTTCCCGCGCAAAGTGGAGTGACGCTCGATACTGGTGGGAAGTTGGAAGAGCACTGTGTTCTGTGTTTTTAAAAGAATCCGATTATAATAAACTTTTAGATATTTAAAGTATTGAGTTTTACTTAAAACTATATAGTGTTCAATGGTTAGTTTCATCACAACAAAAGGGAGAATGTTCCCAGGTAATATCAATTTTGTTGTAACACACACAACTATCTGTGTTGGCGATCGTGGGTAAATAATTGTAAGTAGTACATAGGTACATCTACTTACCATATCATGAACAAAGGGACTTTCATTTGGTTTGGTTTCACTATCATACAGGTCATGTAGGTAAGAAAGTATTAATGTTTCGATGGTAGACTGGATGGATGGATTAATCGATTAAGCTCTTGAGAGCTCGTACACAAAACTGTAATGCGACGTCGCATCACAAAAATGTGCGAGCTCCATCTACGCATCGC